CACAAAGCACACACCAGCAAGTTCCCCAAAGCCATGAGAAAAGGTTTCATGACATTGACAAAAAACATCATCCCAGTAATAACAACCATCCTTCCTGAGCCCACAATACCCCCTGCAAGTTCAGAAAGATGCCATTAATTTAAGGTAATTCATCCTAACAACACTGAGTATTTTTTGTCATCACAAAGGCAAATGAATACCTTAATTATCATATAGGCGACGTTTAGCAGAAGAAGGCTTGGTGGATGTCGGCTGTGAAGTCAGGTCTCCAAGTGAGAATGGAGAAGAATCCTGAGTTGATTCCCTAGATTGCTTGTTGCTACCCTCCTGAGACCTAGCAGATTCCAGCTTTTCAATCTTCACTTTTGCCAATGGAGAAGCCAACCTAGAGTGCAAGGAACCTAATCAACCAAAAGAAGATGCATATATGGCCAATGCTAATTGTCTAAGGTAGGAAACACTCACATTGCACCAGAAGGCGATGAAAAGGGTGGGGTTGAAGATGATGTCTTCTTGATTTTACTCTGGGGAGTAAAATCACTCAGGTCACCAAGTGATAATGGAGCAGAATCCTGAGTTAATTGTCTAGCTTGCTTGTTGACACCTTCCTTAGACTCAAAAGATTCTAGCTTTTCAATTTTCACCTTGACCAATGGTGAAGCCAACCTAGAGTGCAAACAACCAAATCAAACAAAGATGTATATTTGGCCAATGCACATTGTCAAAGGCAGGAATTTCTCACATAGTATCAGAAGGTGATGAAAAGGGTGGGGCTGAAGATGATGTCTTCCTAATTTTACTCTGGGGAGTATCAGAGTCTCCCATAACAGCTGACAACGAATCCAAAGATTTCTGCTTGCAAGAACTCATCAGATCCGCCCTATCACTGTTTACTAAAAATGGGGGTGTCTCTGGAATCTTCACATCAGCAACAACCTTAATGGTAGTATCTTGGGGAGGACCAACAGAACTGACAGGCAGCGAACCCTCATTTGCTGAAACAGCAAACACAGAATCCTGATTGCTGTATCTGGCAACACTATCAGAGGCTGAAAATGCTCTCCTTGAAACACCTTCCTGCGGAGACTGAATTCCCAAATTGCTAACACCAGAACTCTCCTTGATGACCAACGGACCATGAGATTTACTGTAAGATATTGCAAAAACATGTTAGTGCCACCCGGATTCAGGGCAGGAAACCAAGCAAACCATCAAAACATAATTGACTAAGTGATATATTAAGAAATAACCTGAGAGGTTGCCCTGCTGCCTGAGTAATATTGAAAGTTGGATTGTAGTTTCCAGTCAGCACTGTGCCTGATATCTTTTCCTTGCCTTTGGAAGAGCTAAATAAAATCAAGACAGACAATCAGAGCAGGGCCCCCAGAGCATTTTAAAACATACCTCCTGAAAGAACCAACAAAATGGGTTAGAAAGTGACCAAACCTTGTTGGAGCGATAGCAGAACAGCTAACTTGGGATGGTTCAGGTACCCCAGCCAACAAAAGCATTCCACCTTGCTCAGCAACACCTTGAGGGACAGAAGGATTGACAGTTGGGTGCACTACAGATTCTATAGCAAGAAGTGGTTCTTGATTATCCCGGGGAAGAACCCGAAAAAACCCTGAATTCCCCTGTTGACACTCCATTAGAACCCATCATAGGAAGTTTGACCTCGAATCTAACAAATTGGCCCAACAATGCCTCAAGCTCAGGTGGAAGCTGGTGAGGCCTATGAGGATATCTTTGGGCAAGAAGCTGAGCAGATGTGAATACCAAATTATTTCCACATGGTCCAAAAACTATAAAACGGGCTTCATTTGTTGAATCACGCAAGGTCAGCTGTATCTTGTACCTACAGACAGACACACAGAGCAAAGGAAGAAACAATTAGATTCCATCTTCTGCCACAAAATAATCAACCAGCATACAAAAAGAGTCTTCACGACAGGCTAAAAAATGAAAAATTTCATAACAGGTGAAATGAGTGTTTACCCAATCGTGACCTGCTGTTCAGAAATCTCCCAATGATCTGGGCACCAATAGTTACCATTCCTCCACGTAGAACACTTCTTTTTGCACATGTTACATGATGTGTAGTACCATGGACTGCGAGACTCAACGGATCTTATTATCCCACCACAACGATGCCTTTCATCCTATTAAAACATAATTTAATAAAAAAATACAAAACATCAGAAATCAACCAAGGAAAAAATATGCAGGTATGAAACAACAAATAACCAAAACAAACAAAGTTAACCACAAAATTATAACACGCACCACCGAACCACCGCTATGGTACAAATCAAGCAGCTCAGCTATCGTCCTTGTACGACGCTGAGCATCAGCAGCAGCATCTTCAGGTGTTGCAAATTGAACTGCCAGTTCCGTCACAGGATTCCTAGCTCCACCGAAGCTGCAACAATCAACATCAAGGTAAAACAAACACAACCAAAAGTAGTACAGACAAATTAGAAAAGGGAAAACCAATACTCACAAAGTTGTAAGGCTGTATGCCTCAGGAATGCGAGGGGTAACAACTATACGGGTGCCAGAAGAACTTGAACAGGTGTACTGACCCACTGAACATCAATAGTTAACAAAAATAACAACACCCAAAGGCAAAATCAGGAAGGCCACTGCAACTCACAGAACAAAAAAAAAAACAAAGAACAAAAGAATACCTATCAAGCGGCCAACCATGAGACTCCCCACCCCAATGATGACTGGCTCAATGGAATCAGCCTGAACCAGAGCAGCACGATCCAAGACTGTAGTCAAATCACCCCAGAGAGTAATGGCAACCTTCTGCCCCCTAAGAGCACAAAACCAATTCAACAAAGAATAAAAAGAAATACAGGGGAAAACCATCAATCCACTAAATAGGACACACAAATCCGTACTGGGCATTCTCAAGGACCAAGGACTGTTTTGGAGTGGATCCATTACTGGTGACTTGATGATCAATCCCACTAATGGAATGAAGACGTCCAACAACATCTGGGGAAAAGTTCAGGAAGCAAACCATAATAAGCAAACAAACAAAAACAACAAATAGCAAATGTAAAAGCAAATGGCTAAATACCCGAGAGGATGCGGTGATCCCCAGTGCGCTTTGGCAAGTCACTGTATGGCACAACCTCGAAAGAGTCAGCAGGAAAATCAGCCGCGGGGAGAGAGCATGCCTGGAAAGTTGTGGTAACCGATAATTCCATGATGAGATCAAAAGAGCAGGCTCGATATAGATTCCTCGCCACACCCAGACCAAAAGACTTGATCACATAAACAACACCAATACGCAGAACCCGCTCAAAATCATGACCAAAGGCTGCATCAGCAAGGCTCTGAATGAGCATGCCCTGCACACAGCCAACGAAAAAGGACAAAAAAGAGTGAAAGATTAATAAAATCTCAAGAAACAATAAGAAAGAGCAGACTGTGCCCTATGAGGAAGGTAAACACAAAGAGGATCCAAGCTTACCGTTTGATCTACCCAAAGACAGCAATGATTGAACACTCTCGTACCATCAGGATTCTTAGCAAACCACATGTGAAGCAGTCGCAAACGGAGAGTAACTTCTCTGCTGCCTCCTTTGAGATTACACAACAAAGTAGCGTCCATTATCAAGACTGAGAGATGAAGAACCGTCGAACAACAGAGCAAATAAACCCAGCCTGAGAAACTATGACCAGAGAGGAGAAGAGAATAGAGAGAGTGTAGAAGAAAGAGAAAGAAAGTCTTGCTCCAAGGGCACAGTCTCGAGGATTGGAAGATAAACAAATGGGCAATAGGGCAACATTACTGAACAGCCCTGCCCTGCAATGATTTGAAAGAAATCGAGAACCACGCCCAGCAAGCCAAATCGACGGCACGCCCAGCAAGCCAAATCTGATTTGAAAGAAATCGAGAACCACGCCCAGCAAGCCAAATCGACGGCTTTAAATCTGAGGCAAAAGAAATAAAAAGCAAAGGCAAATATGTCACCTCCGATCTGCAGAACAACCAAGTGGGGAAACCACTCTCAACGAACCACCCACCTCCGATCTGCAGAACCACCAAGTGGGGAAACTACTCTCAACGAACCACCCAGGCTTTTTCAAGCCCCCACCAGTCAACTCACCAACGGGAACAACGAAGCAACTGACAACACCTCGCTTTCTCCGGATACAGCGAGATCCTGTGCGACCAACGCGAGCGAGCACAACCAAACAGCCCACAACCCAAATACACAATGCGTAACTACCGGTTCCATTCCAACCGAGCTTGCAAATCCCTTCCGATTCCAAATAGGCAACAGCCAACGCCCGCCCACACACCAGCCAACGCCAGGATAGAACAGTACAACTGAGTCACGTTGTACAGTGAAAGCAGTCTGTGTGTGCAGTGCCAGCCCCTGCAGTGGGTTTTCTTCTTCCAATTTATGTTAATTGATTTATTTGGTGAGAATAAAGTTTTTTTAGGTCTGTAATTTATTATTTGTGTGATCATACGTGCTGAACAATTTTTTACACTGTTTATCGAGGATAGATGGATAAGCAATAAAAAGAAATATTCTTATGTATGGTTAAGTTATTTTTAAATTCTCATTTTTAATGTTGTTGTAAATAATTATGAAACCTTAAATAATTTTGAAACCTTTTTGTTGTCTTTTGCATGCAACTTCAATGAAGGGTTTTGCTATCTTGACCGAATATAAGTTATTATTTGTACCAATTATCGAACACATTCATGTTTCCAAGTTAAGCTACTGACTCCTAATACATGATTATTCTCTATTAACTAAACCCATCAGAGTCCTATGACAATATTTAACATACCAATTCATCTTGATTCAATTCTACAATTTCAAATCATACCGTCCATGGTAATTTATAAAGTCTTGTTAATATTATGACTATGTATATTATATTATTATCCCAATGAGTGCACTCAACAAATAGTCGAGGGTTGTGAAAAAGGGTCTAGCTTACTAGTAATACCATTGCTCTTGAAGAGGTCCAAATTTAAATCTCTTGAATAATACATAGCTAAAAACAAACCTATATTACGCATATAGAAAAGAAACAAATGATCGAGGGTTCGCGTTTTGGCTTGATCTTGGTTGATAATGGACCCCACCCGACTATCTCTGATCTCAACCCTTCGACTATCTCTGATCACCCTTCGGATCTTCTCAACGATCACCTGGGCATCACAATGTGATTTAAGCTGGCATTGCATTACTTTTACATGATACGAGTTTTAAGTATAAATTGGTTGGAAACAACAACGATCTTCTATAATGCAACATCTGGTAAACAAAATTTGGGCGTATTGAAGTTTAAAAATGCAAATGCAGCTTAATCCAAGTGCTCGCCTGCCAAATTCTACACAAAATAATAAGATTTGTTACATAATTATAATATAATTAGCTACCAACAGTATACATTTTTTTTTAAAGAACCTACAGTATACATACATTCTAGATATACATACATGACATAGCAGATAGCACTTGTCCGCACACACCAGGATCTCAACAAAAACAACCCTAATTCTCCTGACCAATAGTTCCTCTAGCACCATGGCGGGAAAAAGATGAACATTCAAAGTGATGCTGCTACTAATCACCAGTATACATCACCTAACTAAACATAGGCACAAATATAAAGCCACACCTGCAAACAAAGGAGAATGAACTATGTCAGTAATGATTGAATCCTAATATTGAAACCTTCAATTGGAATATTGGGTTTGAAATTTTACACCTTAGGTTCATAGATACGAAGCTTCACAGCAAAGCTTTTGGTGGGTCTTCTTTTGGGTTCACCATTGAAAATGGAACATAACTTTGTATTGGCCTCAGAAGGATCCAACTTGCCCACTTTCACTATTGTCAGTGGAGAAAACTCATAGCTGCTGCTGATGAAGAAAAGCGTGGGGTCGAGGATGCTGGTGCAGGGATCTTCCTATGAGAAGTTTCAAAGTTTCCCATGGTAGAGTGAAAAGAAGCAAACCAGACCATTACGATTCAAGTACAATCAATGGTTCTAGCTAAAAACCTGCAAAAAAGACCGTGGGTAGATTGAACTTAATGGTTCTAAGTTTGAGATGTTGGATGAACACCTGCCATATTGCAACTTGCGGAATTTATCTTCAATACAAAAAATTCACAAATCAGTACATGATGAGCATTGTCCTTCTTGACTAGAGTACATACAATAACATGAACACCTCTTTTACCAATGTCGGAAAAGAAAAGGTATGAAAGATCCAACTAAACATTGGACGGTAGGAACCAGACAGGATATGGAGAAATGAATGAAGGGTTACTGTGAACTGATATAGCATCGTATAATGGCTGGACACTACCGGTGGAGAGGCTGAAAATCCCCATGTCAGAACCTCCTAGCACCTTCTTGTAATGGTAATCAAGCATATCATCCGTGAAATAGATAGAATTCGGTATGATCTCCGGGTGATCTCGAGTAGAGACGTAAGTTGAAGTGTTGAAGCCCAGGAAAAGAGCATATTCACCAATGCTTCCAACCTCCTCCCATTCCTTTGTATCCTCCTTCAGCTTGAAAACTTTGAACCGAATTGTGTTCTGAACCTTACTATCTAAATTCACCCCAGGGTCGATGCTGTGTTCATCGTCCGAGTCTTGGTCGAGCCAAACTATATCAGCTTCATCATCTTCCGGGACATCATCAACTGGAATAATATCAGCATCACCATTATCATCATCATCATCATCCTCGGGGAAACTTATATATCTAGCCACCATCATCAATCCGTCTCCCGTTGGACTCACGGATAAGTAGGCATTCTCAAATCCACCCCGTTCACGGTCAATGAACCAGTGGAGTCGTGGATGCCCCGGGATGGAAGTATCGCAAGTTAAAACCCTGAACCTGCCATCCAAAGCGTAAAATTGACCCCTCCAGAACACAACATCTCTAAACCAAATTCGCTCCGGCCCTGGGCTAGGGCTAGGAACCAACGTCCATGCTTCGTCACTCCTAGGTCTGCAAAACGCTAGCCTAAGACCGTCAAGAGAGCGTATAACCATCACAACGAAGTCCTTTTCCGCACAAGGATCAGCAGAGAGAGCCATCTTGTTTATGAATGTAGACTCAAAGAACTTCTTTCCCTGCGCTATCTTGCGGCCAGAATCACTGAGACGCAAGAATTCATGACCGATTTTCTCGGGGCGGTACTTCAACACATCAGGAAAACTTGTGATTGGGGGCAGCTGGATCTGTTCTCTGGTTAGAGGGTTCAATAAGAACATAAAAGGTGTCCTCTGCAGAGTGAACACCCAGCCGAAAGCAGAGCCGCGGCAGGTCGTTTTGTCTAGGCCTTCCTGCAACTCGATGTGACGAAATGTCTGCTCGGCCACATCGAAAAACCGCCTACAGCTGTCACTAGCTTTGCATCCCTCCTCCGACGGCGAACTATTAACGGCGTCGTCGCTGCAATACGGAAGCATCAGCCACGGCACGGATTGCCTAAACTTTCTACAATCCAGGCTTCGTCTCCATGGCTTGCAAACGGCACGAAATAGGATAACATCCTTCAACTTGACCAACCGTTGATTAACCATACACAGAAGCTCCTCCGGCAGTTCAGACCAATTGTTCAATTCTGCCATCGGCCTTTCTTAGTATTCCGGCCGGAAGGATTAATCTGGCCAAGGCAGTAAGCCTCCTGGTGCTATTTATTAATTTCTAAATCAAAGATCGAATTTTTATAGAGTCCCGACTGGAATCCAAAACTAAATTGGAATCGGCGAATCTTTTCCTTCCCCTAGTCGGATCGGATTTACTACTCTACAACAGAGAAAGGCCAGAAACAGAGAGAGAGAGAGAGACAGATCTAATTGATAAACAAACTAAACGGAGGCTTACCCTATTCCTGGTAAACGCCCAAGTCTCACCACTGCGGGATCTGAGCCCGCCGCCGGCGACGACACCAAAACTCATAGACCCCAACCATAAATCCGTAGCCGGGTCAGAACTCATGGAACCTGCCTGCCCGGAGCTCTGGTTTTCGACTCATATATTCTGTTTTTTTTATTTCTCTCCCTTGTTTGTGCGGCGGAAAGTAGAAACTCATCGAACCTTTGTTTTTGTTCCGATGGGTAAATTGCAAAGTTTGGTCAAAAACTCAAACGGGATTCTCATCACTGAAAATATGTGATTCTATGGGTATTGCTATTCGTCGCCCTAAAATACCTTATTCGTCGCCCTAAATTTTATCGAAATGACTCAAATATCCTTAGTTTAATATTTGTAATACATGGTTGCCGGTATCATTGAGTGGGATGGTGATAGGTTTCTCCCTAGAATGTTCTTCGACGCCTTTCTTTCTAGAAATCACGATCCCTCGACTTTACATGTATGGCTGATTTTGCTGGAACGAATTGTTGCTCGTCATTTCAATTCTTAAGGGGTCAGTTTGGAACTCTTTCTGAAAAATTGTATGGATTGTGTTCAGTTTATTTCAATTGGAAACTCTAACTCTAAACCTCATGAAGTAATCTAAGAAGAAAGAAATTTAAGTTAATTCAAGGCGTTTCTCACTGGGAATGGGATTATGTTGTTGGAGAGAAGGTTTCTACCAACTCTTGACAAAAGGAGGGCTGTGGGTCTGAGTGAAGAATCCGGCGGCAGCAGGAGGTGGGAGGCGGCCTCCTTTTTCTCTGTCTTCTTCCTCCTCCGGCTAGAAGCAGAGCATCGGTTGCGGTCGGGTTAAGGTGAGCAATTGTCGGGGAGAAGAATCCGACAGCGGCAACAGCGCCCGGAGGACAGTGGAGCTCGGCGGCGGCAGGGCAGGGTATGAAGTTGTTTGATTAAGGTTTTGATTAGAAATTGAGGTCAGAGGGTAAAAGTGTCAATTTGATGCATTTTAGGGCGATAAAATTTAAATTTTAGGGCGACGAATAGCGATTCAGGATTCTATTGGGTAATTAAATTTAAGGGTTAATGCCACATTTGGTCATTATGATTACTAAATTGTGTCATGTTTAATCACTAGAAAAAATTAATATCAAATTTAGTCACTGTAATTACTGAAACAGGTCACATTTAGTCACTCTCCGTTAGTCTCCATCCAACTCCGTTAATGGAGTCCGTTATGTGCTGACGTGGCTAACGGAAATGCCTAGTCAGCACCATTTTGGACCGAAAATGGTCAAACCTGACCCGCCACATCACTAAACCCGCCATGTCATACACCCAACCCAACCCATTAACCTAATTCGACCCAGAACCAAACCCTAGCCCACTTAACAAAACAAAATTGGAAAATCGATCGGTTAGTGGCCATTTCAGACCAAAACACTTTCTCCTTCCTCACCAAGCTCCGCTACTTTCTCGAATCAATTCCCCCGCAAAAAAATCCCCAAATTCGTCGAAACCCGGAATCCCTAGATCGCGAAGCCACTCACATCCTCGTGATCCTCCTCCTCACTGCGCTCGCCGCCGCCGCTCGGTAGGTGGCGCCCGATCGAGGGCCTCAAGGATCCGGAAGTGAGGATGCCACGAAGTTCGCCGTCAAGCAGCACAACGAGAAGGAGGGGGAGAAGCTGAACCTGGTGAGGGTGGAGTCCGGCGCGTACCAGGTCGTCCGCGGGAAGAACTAAAAGCTGGAGCTGACGGTCTCCGGCGCTGTAGACGCCAACGGGTTGTCCAAGTACGAGGCGATCGTCTTGGTGCAGCCCGATGCCGTGAAGAGGCTCACGTCGTTCAAGAAGGTGACGTGAGCTAGCATGCTCGAATCTTGATCGATCTCCCTGGATTTCTCCGGCTTTTCGTGTTCGGATGATGCGATTGTATATTAAGGTAATGGGGAAGGAATTGTGATGTGGTGGTTACGTGAGATGTATCTGTGTGCGTGTTTGCATTACCGGAAATAAGAATGGAAGAAAAAAGCTCTATTGCTGTTGGTGCTATTCGAAATCTGTTTGTTCTCCCGGAAAACTGGTTTTTGGAACTTTCTCGAGAAAGGGTTTTGGTCTGAAATGGCGACTGACCGATCGATTTTCAAAATTTATTTTATTAAGTGAGTTAGGGTTTGGTTTTGGGTCGAGTTGGGTTAATGAGTTGGGTTGGGTGTATTACATGGTTGGTTTAGTGATGTGGCGGTCGGGTTTGACCATTTTCAGTCCAAAATGTTGCTCACTAGGCGTTTCCGTTAGCCACATCAGCACATAACGGACTCCATTAACGGAGTTGGATGGAGACTAACTGAGAGTGACTAAATGTGACATGTTTCAGTAATTATAGTGACTAAATTTGATATTAATTTTTTCTAGTGACTAAACATGACACAATTTAGTAATCACAGTGACCAAATGTGGCATTAACCCTTAAATTTAATAAAACAGGCCAAACTTGATCACTATACTATACGTTATCTTCCGCCAGTCTCCATTAACACCGTTAGAATTGGCGCGACGGGTTGGTTAATTAGGCGATTTTGTTTGCCACATTAGCACATAACGGACTCCATTATCGGAGATCGACAAAAATTAACGGAGAGTGATCAAACTTTGACTGATTTATTAAATCTAGTGACCACGGATGATATTAAATATTTTTAATGAACAAATATGAATTTTTTTAGTAATCTTGGGTAGACCCATTTCCAATGACATAATAAAAAAATATACAATGATAAATGCTAGGCTACTAGAATGCTAATTTGGCATTTCGTTTTTTTCAGAGTGCTCTTTGCTCTACTAAAAAGTGTTAGAATGTCAAAGTTCAAACTTATTTTTTTAATTAGGAAAAATTTACTTGCGTAGCCATAGTTATCGATTTTGTGACAATAATAGCCAATTTTTTGAGAAATACACAAAATGTTCAGATATTAGAAACATGTTTGACAAATGTAGCCATTTTCGTTAAAAAATTTAACATGATTAAGATTTCGTTAGTTACATCAACAAGATGATGACGAGGATGCCACATCATACTTTAATTGTGAGACTAAATTTTTTGTCTAATGATGTGAAAAGAAATAACTCTCGATTTATTATTCCTGTTATTATTATTGTTTTTGAAAGAATGTTCACATTTTTTTTTCTATGAAGGATGAGTTCACTTTTTTTGTGTAAGGAATTAATTATTTATAAGAAAGGATAAGACCTATTTTAGTAAAGTGAACCGAATGAGAATCGACTATGGAGGAATTGTTGATTGGAAGAGGAAAAATAAGAACCTTTTTTTTTGTATAATTGTCCCCTATGAGCATTTAAGCATTCTTTTGAATAATATGGTATCACCGGCAAACCATGGTATGTCGTGATTTATGTAATCTACTGGCGATGGTATGCCTTAACCATTACCTCAAATAAATGACTGTTACGTTCTTTCATTTGATCGTAAAGCGTAACTAGCGTATCTGATTTTTATTCATTAGGTATCCAAATCATTTTGTTCCAATATTATTCACACATGCAGCAACACAATATACATCTTTAGTTTTGGTTTACAGGAGGAGGAAATTTAATTGTCACGTTGATCATGAAAGAGAGAATGATTAACTAATTAATTAATTAGGCGGAGTCTCTGAAAGATCTGTAGCGATAGACAATGAAGGCCCCAACCGCCACAGCCGCCACAACCGCCAGTCCAACGTTGACCATCGTCTGTCTATTATCTTCGTCCTTTATCAACTCGTCAACCCGCTCCAAAATCCCCAACCCCTTGGCCTTCTTCCTCGCAGTCGCAGCAATATTACCCGACGACGACGTCGTAATAGCCTCCTTCTTCATTCTCTCCCCAATGTTATTTTCCACCACGTCATCCTTGATAGCCGACAACGCATTACCGTCGTGGTGGTCCTCAGGCGACTCTTTCCTCTTCTTGCTGCTTCCGCGGCTTGTTATTAATGCTGCTGCTACCCCCTGGCGACGATGATCGAAATGATCATCGTCGTCGTCGCGGACATCACTTAACTTTGCCGTCTCCGCTGCTGCCTTGGCGGCCAGAGAAGAAGAAGAAGAAGAAGCTTCTTTTGGTGGCGGGAGATCAACAACTTCTTCTTCTGCCTTGGTGGTTGGACTATTATCTTCTCTTTCTTTTCCTTGTTCCTCGCCCACTTCTTTTTCCGGTGTGACCGTTTTGGCCGCGGCGGCCGCGTCGTGACCTTTCTCATGATCATTGTTGTTATCCTTATCATCAGTACTGTCATTATCTTCCTTTGTCTCGTGATGATGATCAGCAGAAGGTCCAGGAGCTGGCGCAGTTGTGGTAGTTGCGGCTGGGGGTGGTGCTGATTCTTCATTAAGTACCGCAGCTTGAGGAGGCGGCGGCAGCAGCGACGGAGGAGGAGGGGCGGCGGCGGCGGTGGGGGTTTCTGGGAGTCGGGGGATGGTGACGGTGAGGACTCCATCGTTGAACTTTGCCTGTATCCTGAAGGCGTCGCAGTTGTGAGGGACGGGGAACGTGACGTTGAAACGACGACGACGACTGCTCTTGGTGTCGGAGTCGTCGGACAGTGGGCGCTCGCCGCTGACTCGTAAGGTTCTGGTGGATTGCACGTATACCACCTTCAGCTGCTCCTTCTTGAATTCTGCGCGCACCAACGACAATTATTAGCAGCAATTTTTTTTAAGTTAATTAATACGTAAGATAAACATACATTACGTATACTGTGGAAAGCTGACAATAATATCGAAAATAACAGAAATTACCAGGAAAGTGGAGAAGCAAAAGCTGAGCCTTGTGCTGTTGTTGTGGTTGAAGCTCTTCTTCTTTCCATTCTGATTTTGGTTCGAAATCCTCGAACTCAATGGCGGCGGGGGCGGCTGTCTCCTTTGCAGCAGCAGCTCCTCCTATCCCAAATCTTCTCCTCATCATGGTTGGATGCAAGAATTAATATCTTACGTATTTGGATTACTGTGTAAGAAGAAGTGGGGACGCGTATTGTATTTATATTATCTTGACAGGATGAGACAGACTCCATTGCTGCTGTTATTAAGCGCTGCATGCATGCGGGGTTTTTTTTTCTTGGTGGAGAAACTATCCTTTGTGTATAGTATAGGGCGGTTTTTATGGTTGCGGGGATGGGCTAGCTAGCTGATTCGATGGGTATTGGACTTGGTATAGCGTATTGGATAATCAAAATCAAAAGCTTCAATATATTCTTTGTTTGCCCTTCAATTTAAGCGGCCACCGCACCTTTCCTATCATTATATTTTGCTTCGTTCTTTCAAACTTTTATGGGGGTTGGGTTTGCCAAAAATTTCAAAAGCAGATCAAGTACTGTTGAAAGAATCATAAGATCGAACATAATGATTTACGCGCGCGGCTTGATTGATTAGTTTGACCAACTTTATGTTTGTGTTGGTTAAGATAGGTTTTACAGTTAAAAGTTAGTGTCGACGTTGTTAATAGGAAAATGCTACCGAGTTTGCACTAAAAATCCTGATGGGATAAAGATTGGACCCAAGAGCTACATTGATGAGCCCAAACATGAAACACAGATAAGCCCACCCACACGCAAAGAAATCATCGGAAACTTACAAGAGATGAGAGCCGAAGCTCAAAAAACAAAAACCTCCAACTGCAAGCCCAAAAGCAACAAAAGCCCAACCCATTAACAGTACACCACCAAACCTTAGCCCACAGCAACCCACAGCCAAGTAAACCACCCACACCTTGTTCCCCGCCGGGGATTTCGCCGCCGATCACTACCACAAACAAACAACACGAAAAACGACGTCGGAAGGAAACATCCCCTCTGCACCCAACGTCGCCTCAACAAACACCGAGACACCACCACCATCAACGAGAGACAAAAGCTAGAGCACCAAGAACCCAAAAGCTCGACTTCGTTCTTATTTTCTCATCTCTCAAATAACACTCATTCAGCATGTTCTGTTACACGGGGTAGAAGATTTTGGTAAAGTAAATAATTAAAGAATGGGGGTGAAAAATCAATCAGATGCTATGGCTGGCAGTTTTCTGATTTTGGGTTTTAGTTGCTGGTTTTCTGGTTAGCCTTGTCTGGTACTGGAGCCTGGAGGTGGTGGGTGCGCCATCCCTTCCTTTTTTATGTTGTTTGTTTGTTTGTTTGTTTGTTATGGTGGAGGGAGGCCCGTGACTTGCCGACTTCTGATCCCTGGCTGGCAAAGGTTATTGTTTGTCTAAATCAGTACTACTACTGCTCTTCAAGTTTGTTCCACAATTCTAATGATGATTTCGCAACATCGTTTCCAACCTTTGCAGTTATGATTCCGCGCACACTCTCTGCAAATGATATTGCTGCTATTTATTTTACTTGAATACAGCAGCAGCAGCACCCAGTAGCTAGCATGATAACACCTTTATTTATATACGCGCTTCTCCCAATGCCCCCATGTGTTGTTTGATAATTGACAAAGACAGACCAGACCAGACCAAACCGACCTCATCTTACTTTCTCATTCGCTTTATTAGTTTGATTTCCTCCTGTTTTCTATCTTCACACACTTCCCTTCCATTTTACAGGTTTACAAAGAGAGGAAGGAAAGACTGGTATCTATATAGGATGGGGAAAGCAATGCTTGGGCATGCAGACTGTCAATGGAGGACTCTAACAAAAAACCCACCAAGAAAAAACCAGCATAAGAAGAGAAGGCTAGGCATATTAGACAGGCATGCCTCTTTGTCAGTTGTCACCATGGAAAAGTTGAACTTGGCCGTTGGGAGGTATATATGTATTGTGGGGGAGTGATGTAATGCATTCAGTAGAGTAGTGAATGAATACAAGGAGGGGAAATTCTGTCACCTTCTGCAGCAGCATATTATAATGAACCAACACTACAGGTGGAACATGTATGCACGTCCCTCCAAACTGTGTAATCAGGTACTGGTTCACGGGCTGGAGTTTAGGAGTGAGCGAATACTATCAATAGACTGTGGCCACATCTATCATGCAAGCGCAAGGAAGCAAAGTGACCAACCAAAGGCTCGTGTTCACGTGTTACAGCCTCACTTGTCTTGCTTGCTTCCCTTCTCCTCCCTCCCACTTTTCACCATTACTCGACAAAAAAACCTTGGTTCATTTCAAAGGCTTGGCCTAGTTCACTCCAACTCAAATGAAATGGAAACAACACTAGCATGTTCACATTAAAAACTATATTTCCTTTTCTGCAGACCAAGGCTTGCGGTGCTACGAAAGTGTCTTAACCTCACAACCCATTTCAGGACCTCCCCAAAAGCCTGCTGCCTGCCATCGACAACCCCATTTTACCCAGACCTCTCTTTCAGCACTCACTGCCACCTTTTTCCTAAAGCAGCAACCACTTTTGCAGTATTTACAAGGCAGCTGAGATTGTGGTGTTGAGGATTAACTGAGAAGTGAAATACCCAATCAGCAGAGTCACAATCTTGTGCAGAACTAGCTGCTGCAGAAGAGAAAGAGAAGTGGTGATGGGGAGAAGGTTAAACCCTGTACTTATGAACCCATTCCATGATTTGCTCTTGTTGCTAATGATAATGGTTTCTTCTCTGTCTCTTCTCCCACATTCATCATCACAACTCCAGCTCCAGCCCTCTCAGCTCCAATCCCTTCTCACAATCCAGCAGCTTCTCAACTACTACCCTTCCTCCCTAGCCACCACCAATGCCTCAGACATCTGCACCTTTGACCCAGCCCCTGCATCATCTCTCACCCTACAGTGCTATGAAGGCAACATCACCCAGCTCCACTTCATTGGCAACATCAGTGATGAGGGTGGTGGAGTTCCTGCTTCTCCATTATTACTGCCGCAAGATTTCTCAAGCTCCTCTTTCTTTGACTCCCTTGCTGGAATCTCCACATTGAAGGTCTTGTCCATGGTCTCTCTTGGCCTCTGGGGCCCTCTCCCTCCAACCATTGGCCAGCTCTCTTCACTTGAGATACTCAACCTCAGCTCAAACTCCCTTTCTGGAGTCCTGCCAATGGAACTCTCATCTCTCAAGAATCTCCAGACGCTCATCCTTGACCACAACTACTTCACTGGTGCAGTTCCTGGCTGGCTCACTTCACTCACAGCTCTGGCTGTCTTGAGCCTGGACAACAACTCTTTTGGTGGGTTCCTCCCAAATACTATGGCAAGCCTTCAGAATCTTAGGATTCTCTCGCTGCCAAACAATCGCCTGTCTGGTGAAGTCCCTGATCTTCACAACTTGACAAACCTTCAAGTTCTGGACTTGGGAGGGAACAGCCTTGGATCTCAGTTCCCCAACATCTCCAACAGGTTGGTCAGTCTTGTCCTTAGAAACAACAGCTTTCATTCTGGGATTCCTGCAGAGTTTCTGGCTTCATCCAACCAGCTTCAGAAGCTGGACATTTCCTTCAATGGGTTTGAAGGGCCAATCTCAGCACCATTGCTGCTCTCACTCCCTTCAATCAGCTATCTGGATGTTTCCAACAACAAGCTCACAGGGATGCTCTCTCAGAACATGTCCTGCAATGGACAGCTCAGTTATGTCGACTTGTCCTCAAATCGTTTGAGTGGTGAACTACCTGCTTGCCTGAAAGCTGTTGGTTCTAGTACCAGAGTTGTGGTGTATGCAGACAACTGCTTTTCGGGTAAAGAGCAACACCAGCATCCTTCATATATATGTCACAATGAAGCACTTGCAGTGAAAGTCTACCCACGGGATAAGGCGAAGCAAACGAAAGTTGGTAGCAAGGTGGTAGTTGTTGCATCAGGTGCCATGGGAGGGACTATTGGAGGGATTGCCATTATCAGCCTGGTTTTCCTGTTTGTGAGGAAAGCTAATCATAAGAATGCTGAAAAAGTGGCCCAAACAAGGCTCATAATGGAGAATGTATCGACTGTGAACACAGTGAAGCTTCTTTCTGATGCACGTAAGATCACTAAGTTTCTATCTTTTTTGTCCCCTCTTTTTAGTCCAAGTGGTTTCAGAAGAATAGGCAGACATTAATCAATCATCCAATGGTTATCTTTTGCAGGATACATATCACAAACAATGAAGATGGGAGCCGGTCTTCCAGCCTACAGAACCTTTGCCTTGGAGGAGCTTAAGGAGGCAACAAACGACTTCAACGTCTCGAATTTACTGATTGAAGATACACACAGCCAAGTTTATAGAGGAAAGCTAACCGATGGAAGTGATGTTGCTATCAAGTGCTTGACACTGATGAAGAAGCAAAACCAGCAAACGTTTACACAGCAGATTGAGTTGGCCTCCAAGCTCAGACACGGCCATTTGGTTAGTGCTCTTGGGCACTGTTCTGATTGTTGCCAAGAAGATTCTCCAAGCATCAGCAAGATGTTTCTGATATTTGAGTTTGTTCCTAATGGTTCTCTAAGAGACCACATTTCTTTTATATATGAAACGTGGGTACCCTTTATTGGTCTCTACTGTTTCATTATTTGTCGGCTAGCGAAGGAAGAAAAACTATCCTATTTTGCCTTTGCTAACACACTCACCCCATCTCTCTCCACTGCCATCCTTTCACCCCCACGAATTGTACCTGCTATGGCTCTGGAACTGTCCTCTCACCTATTCCCCAAATCTCCCCCACACCCCAAATCACGCCATCTCGGTTCTTGATAGTATACAGACTACAGCACGCTACCCTCTTTAACACTCCAACGAGGAAGCAACCTCTGCCGGCCATTCTTCTTCCCCAACACTCAATCCTCACTCAATAGATCTGGACAAAACCCCGCCCTCAAATACTCTTTCTCTCCGACGAAGACAATTTTCATCCTGGACTGCTAGAAGTCGGAGCTACTGCCACCAGCTCTCTCGGCTTCATCAATCATCATCGGCGACTGCGTCTAAGGACCGGTTGACCAGAAAGGTGACGGCGGCTAGATCTCAAGCCATCGTCGACGGTAGCATAACGAATCAGCACTCACTGTCATTATTGTGGACCTCCCGCGACCCGGAAAAAAGCAAAGAAAATCTACTCCTCCCCTGCTTCCTCTCACTATACCTAGGACATAACCGCTGCTGTTGAACCGATCCTCAAAGCAGCAGTGAAGCCGAAGGCGCAAACTGCTCATGGGATGCTTATGATGGCAGTCGTGAAGGAGATGGTGCGCTCAACAGATGGAGAAGAAGTATAGAGCATAACTCTTTGACGTCAGCCCTCCATTTGCCAGAAACCACCGACCGTGAAAGCGAGAGAAAGAGGGAGAGCACCAACCAACCATCTGCATAAATTTATGTTCTTTTCGAGTTTGAATCTTCGTTCTCTAGAATTTGGCGAGCTACAGTTCAGATTTCTAAATTTTAGTTGGGTAATTGAGTTTCCAGGTAAAGTAGGAATCTTTGGATCTGAATGGGGTTCAATTCTCTCAATAGTCAGCACAGCGACGACTTGGATGACTTGTGTTCCTTCTCGATCTAAGAAGCTTCACAAAAAAAAAATGGCCTTCCAAAGTTTTGCGACTCTCAGAAGCAAACCATGAGTTGGAAGAACATGGGCTTCGATCAATATTTGAAGAGTGCGGTGTTACGAAAATGTACTTGGCTCCTTTGTATTGGCTGCTTCTACGTCGGATCCTCTTCTCGGACAGGTACACTTTTTCTTTCTTTGGAATTGAAGGTTGCTTCTACTTCTGAATTTGGCATCTCACCGAAGTCGGAAACCATAATCCTGGTAGTTTTTTTCTTCAATTTAAGGGAGGCCTATGCCTATGAGAAATACAGTCCTGGTAACTTTGAATCATGTTTATGTTCCTAAATTTGGTATGCTAAGCTACATGATTTGGAAGGCCTTGCTTTCATCTCTTTACTGTCTCAAATTGATGAACTCGCAGGTTAGTAAACCGACAGCAAGTGAGGCTGGTGAAAGTGCAGAACTTATTAAAAACTCAAGACAATGCAAATAAACAAAAGGAAAGAACTTCAGGTTAGTAAACCGGCAGCAAATGAACTGTTGTATTTATTCTGCTTTTGTGATGTAAGATACCCATCTCTTCATTCCGTTCGTTTTTCTGCCTTTTTGCTTTACCATTAAGCTTTGTTGTCATATTATAGCTGTTTACTCTGTTTGAATAAAGAAGACGAGGGTGATACCATATCAAAGTTCATTCCGGCGAGTTGGTGTTCATGATGAAAGCAATGCAAGAAAGAAATTAGCTAGAGGCACCTTGACATATTTGGTAAACTTAACATATGTCAATATATAGTTCTAGGAGTATCTCACCCTTTCGTTGGTCTCAGATGTAGTTATCTACAAACGTTGCCACCTTCTGGTAGTTTTCCTTCATTCTGCCAACCTGCCCGAGTTGCCTTCCTTCCCCCCCACCCCCCGCTATAGTACTAGGTTTGCGGTAAAACAGAGGTTTCTATAGGTGTACACTGTACCAAAATGTCTCTAAAAAGTCTTTGTGAAGGTAGTAATCATGTTTATCACATATAAATAGGTTTAACCAGAGTACATGAAATGCACTAGAGTATCTTAACAAGTTCCCTACAGTTTTGTAAAGGGGAGGGCTGAAGATCAGGTTTCTAATGATAATTTCTCTTACCTCATCATTACCTTTGAATGTGATCTTTACTTAATGGAATCAATCAACAATTATACACTCATTGTTAAGTAAGAGTTGCTGCATTTTAGAACAGAATTGACAAGTGTTCGGATGTGATTGTCTACAGAATTATATTTTAACTGCTTTTAGGTGGCTTACATTCAACTTGGTTTTGCTGTCTTAATAGATGAACCTGCACTTATCTCCTCAAAGAGTGTGCAATCAGCCAAGGGAAGAACACGATGAGAAGAAACTTAGGGAATTGACAGGACCAGGTAATTCATTTTCTCCTATCCGACAATTATATGCTACATCCCAATTGTGATCCTTAAATCTCTCTTCCATTCTTTTGAGTCCTGGTTTGTTTTGCTGCTGTTTTCCCATTGACAAACTCTTATTCTAATTTTATTGTTCGGGTTATACAGCAAAGCTTCTGCAAGGTAGGGAAGGTAGTTGATTGGTATTGGGACGAAGAAGGAAGAAACACATCTAAGTAAGGGGATTCGTCATGGTTGGTTGCTTATTTTCAGAGTGTTGTTTGGATGCTTATGATCGGAACATGTTCACTGGTTGTTGTCACCAACTTACTCTCAATATGTTCCTCCCACAGGTTTTCGGTGATCCATGGGATTTAGCAGGTAGCTTACACGCTTATTAAGGACTCAGAAGTCAGCTAGGCCCTTTCTTCTGCCTTTTGCTACAAGGATCTCATTCTTTTTCTCCTTATTTTCCTCAGCAACAATCCGAGTATATAATAAACCAATCTAATCGACAAGGTAGGTCTTTCATCTTTTTCCCAACTCGCTAGACCCATCAAGATGTCATCTTATGATCCAAACTCTCCAAGAATAACAAGAAGCAAAGAAGATTCTGAAGGAAAGCAATTACAATTACCTCCAAAGAAGGCCAAGAATAAGGCTGCAAAGTGGAAGGAACTCAATCGGATGATAAAGAAGCTTGAAGGATTTTTACCAGTCACAACTCACAAAGGGTCATGCTATTGGTAGTATTTTGATAGAGTGAATTGTGTCTGAAGCAAATTGAGCAGGTGAGACAAAGAACTGGTGACTGAAGCTATAGACATGGACAATAGCATCAACAAGTGCGAAAATGAAGTGGTGAAGTGCATTTAGTTAGTTCTGTTATGCCTACAAGATAACTGAGGGATGGATATTTCACATTAGAAGTCATCAACAACAACATACCATAATCCAAAATTACCATAACCGTGGTGACAACCTCCTCACTTATAAAATGATATTACTGCAATTTAAGTCCCGATATTGCTGCAATTTAAGTCCCCGCGGCGTAGCCGTGGGTATTGATTCTAGTCTCTGGTAAAGAGGGACTCCTTTCAGATCCATATATCTTTCCTCCTCAACCTTATATCGATCAGGTTTCGAGGTAAATTAGATCGTTCTTGGTTTTTGGTATCGCAGGAGCTCCACAGAAGAAGCTGACATGGGTGCAACGGATAGGGGCGGCCATTGGAGTTGCTAGAGGGGTTCAGTTCCTACACACAGGAATTGTGCCTGGGATGTTTTCAATCAATCTGAAAATCACAGATGTTCTGATGGACCACAATTATCATGTCAAAATCAGTAGCTTCAACCTGCCAACATTTGATGGGAGGAAAGGAACAGTGAGTCTTCACCTCACCAGTGTCCTTCGTTTTCTCTTTCAGAAAGATAATTCAAAATTCTCAGACTTATGCTTCCAGAATGAGCTATTTTCAGGTGGCTGTAGCAGCTTTTTCATCAGGACAAAAGCAGAAGTTACAGAACAGGTGGGTAGGGAGTTACTTCTCCAGCTACCTTGGGATTTACTGGTAATGTTCTTTGAATTTTGATTATGAGTTGAGTGCATACGTAGGCTGACTCTTACAAATGCAGGCAAGAAGGCGGCGACAGTAAAGATGTTGAAGACCTGGGAGTAATTTTACTTGAGATAATAGTTGGAAGGCCCATCATGTACAGGAATGAAGTCAGTGTATTAAAGGACCTGGTCAGTATCTGTTTTTATTCCAGGAGCAATTTCCAGCCTCATGAGTTCTATTAAACAAGCCACCTTAGATAAATTGGTGATGATTCTAGTATGAAACTAAATACATTGATGATGGTCCGTGACTGCCGACTGGTGCAGGTTAGCACAGCAGCTGATGATACAGCTCGCAGGAGTATTGTTGATCCGGAAGTTCAAAAGGAATGCTCAAACGAGTCATTGAGAACAATTGTAGAGCTATGCACAAGATGCCTTTCCGACGAACCGTCAATGAGACCATCCATTGGAGATGTACTCTGGAACTTGCAGTTTGCAGCACAAGTTCAAGAATCATGGAAGGGTGACTGCTGCCTACAGATACATCAAGATTCAACTGCCTCTAGTTCTTCCCAGGCCTAACCAAGGGATTTGTATATGTTCAAATTTATTCTTATTCCAGATTTAGTTATGCCTCCAAGAATATAGATACTATTACAGGATTTGAGGGAGATGGTACTTGGTAGGTTGATCATGAGCAGTGAATGGATATTGTATAAGTAAATCCAGGAGAGAAATTAAGGCCATTCTCAAGCTTTAACAAACAGCTGTCTGTGGAAAGAATTGGGATCCTGAGATTGGGGCGGTTGCTACCTATCATAGACAGAACCAGCATGGTTCGCCTTAGCTTGCTAAATCAGGGAGCTGAAATCATTGAATCAATCAAAGCAACCTCACAGGCCAATAGTAGAACACTATGAGTTGTAGTGAAATATCTGCTGTGGTATAAAAGATGTGTATAACTCTATCAATTCCTGCTTTGTAAACAACACTAATTTACAATAGACAAGTGTGAAGATACAGAAATGAAGACAATGTAACACCTACAATGAACTCTCAACACCTATCCTTTGGATAGCCAACAATGGGAAATCCCTGGAAACCGAGACTCTGACCAAGCCCTAAAGAATAAAGGTAATTTTTACAAAAATAAAGATACAGGAGAATCTGAAGGGGAATGATATATTACCATGTCATCATCACCTCCTTGGAGGACCCAAGATGGCATCCATTTCTACTTCTACAGATCCAACACCTCCCCTTGAAGGTTTGAATTTCTCCGCCTCCTTTGCAATTTGGATGTCACAAGGTGTGCAGTATTGATACAGTACTTTTACAACAAAGCGTGGAATTAGTGAGGCTACAACCACACCAAGCAAGCAAAGCCAAAACAATCCAGTCTTTGCAGTTTCGAAAATGGCCCTGCAAGTTACGGAAGAGCTTCCACAATTAGTGTCTATGATCCAAAGGAGATCAGATAATTAGCATGGGGTTGAATATATGAATTCAAACATAAAGAGAAAGAAGGTGCAATACCAGTAACCAGGTAACGTAGGTATGGCATCAATGACCATTATAGATATGAAAGTTGCCAAAATGGATCCCCATATTGCTGCATGCATGAGCCAATTCCACCGGGTGATGTCCATTGCCAGATGAAGATTGACCAAAATGACGACTGCCAGTGTCCACAGATCCCCTATACTTGCTGCATCAATGGTGCTAATCCGATAAGCAAAGAAAGGGCCAAAGAAAATGACCACACTTTGCCACAGAGTGTCCATCATAGTCAGCCAGAACAACTTTGAGTTGTAATTTTCTCGTCTTTGCCCAGCTCCGTACAGCTGAGGATACTTGAGTAGGGTTTTCCGACTCAAGTCCTTGTCAAGAATACCAACAATGACAGTTGGCACTGCTGTGTAAATTACTGAATACAACACACTGTTCCACTCGTTAATAGCAGTCGTCAAAGTGAAAGCAGTAAAGAGCACATACCTGCAAACAAAGAACATCAGTGACATTAAGTGCCAAGAACTATATAGTATGCAGGTTTGAACCCCTATATCTTACTTTCAACACCTTATGGAGTTCACATCCTAATGTGAGATTGTCACATTAGTATACTGTACACAACTAGAAGGACTCGTATGGAGATAAATTTGTTGCCATATCTTCAATAAGTGCACTACATATGACCAGATTTTGTTCTTAAATGTTCAGTTTAAGCTTTGACAGCTGAGAATATTAGGTAATTCATTCGGTACCCTTCTACATAAGATGAGCAATTCAGTAGGAGTATCTCCATACCTTTAGGAAAGTAGATAGCAGCTACAGCATAAAGGTTTTCAGTAAAATTATGCAGTAAAACAACATAAATTTTAATATTGCTTATATATGAACCTGAAACAATTACTGGGGTTTTTTCATTTTAGAAAATTAGGTAAATGCCAAGGCCAGCCGTCATCAAACTCAAACAACTATACTAAGTCGCTACGGAGAAAACAACAGAAAATTCCTCACACATTTGACTTACCAAAACAAGACAAGAACAAAAATTGCATTCCTGTAGAAGTTATAAATTATCATGTAACCCATTCGCTGGTAATTCCAATGTCCATGGACCAGCAGAAGTGGAACTAAGAATCTGAACTGTCCCATGGCAAAATCAGATGCCATTACAGCTTGCCGACCCTCCTGCCCACTGATTCCAACTCCTACATCAGCCATTTGGATCATAGAAACATCATTTGCACCTGTTACAACCCACCAACAACTTCCCATATCAGCTCAAATAAGCAACCACGCCATTATCATATATGGCACAGAGTATTGCCTTCTGAAAGCATTTTACCAAAGACTCACCGTCTCCAATGGAAAGGGTCATATCAGCTGTCCTATTCTTCACAAGGGAAACAATTCCAGCTTTTTGTAATGGAGCCACCCGACAACAAAGGACCACGGAACATTTGCTGGATAATTCAAAGAGCTGCAGCAAACAAGTAAACAAATTAGCTACAGTTAAGAAGATAAACATATGTTGTTGAAAAGGGAAAGATTCATGTGAATTATAATGTCAATACCTGTTCCTCGAGTTCACTGTCAAGGATATAAACAAGGCTAGCTCCATCAATGATCAAAGCAACCAAGCTTCCAGAAGATGCAGAAATGTCTTCATTATCAGTTGTCCCAGACACATTGCTGAGCTTTTTACATACAAGCAAGGCATCTGATAAACTCTTTCTACATGACTCCTTGGAGTTGCTGTTGATAATAATCTGTGTCATTTTGTTTGTCAGGAGCTTTGAAGAATAGCCAATCGATATGGCAGTTTCTTGTTTATCCCCCGTTAAAACCCAAACTTTAATTGCTGCAGTCCTCAATGCTTCAATAGCTTCTGGGACACCTTCTTGAAGTTTATCTTCAATAGCAGAAGCACCCAGCAAGCTAAGATGGTTTTCAACATTGCTGGCAACCTTCCGAAGTAAAGCAGCGCGGCCAATCAAAGCAGTACTAGCAGCCTCAAAGGAAGAGTGCCACTGCTCAAATTCTGAATCTCTTAATTCCCGCATCCCAACGACAAGTGTTCTCAGGCCAAGGGAGGAGTATGAATGAAGATGACCTTCAGTTGCACGGATTATGCCCACAGTTGAAGTTTTATCGATGACAGTGAACATGGATGTATCAGCACCCTTTACAAAAATTTTGACAGACTTATCAGGGAAGCCTAATATGACAGACATTCTCTTCCTGTCACTGTCAAACTCATGCAAACCCAAGACATTGAACCTGCAATAACGGTAATGTGAAATAAGAGGAATGGAAAAAAAAAACAGTCTACATAGAAATTCTTAGACAGAAAGGTGTTGGAAACGCAGAAAAGGGTATACAATCCAGGTATTATGCACATACATGGATGGGCAGAGCAAACACCGGAAATACACTGAAGGATTCAAGTACCAATTGCCATGTTCAGCATAACATTTAAAGTGATCAGAATGTGCACAGTAATATTTTCACTTCATCTTTAACCCAGTCATAACCTAGTGAAGATCACAAGATTCATGAAAAAGAACATTTTGCAGACAGCATGGGAGAACATAATGGGAAACATATGTGGGAGTGTTAAGGGGAAAACTAATTTAGCAGACATCAATTAAATCAATATAAAGAAAAAGTACCTTTGCCTTTCACCCAGAATATCAATAACTATATGGCCGGAAGTTCGCTCTATAAGCATAAAACCATATGCAGCAGCAGCATAAGCCAGAGCTTGTTCATCAGGAGATTCCCCTTGGTAATCCATCAACTTAACTTCGGGATCAGATGTGTCAACAACGAGAGGCACAATTGTATTACAAGCTGCTAATGCGAGGAAAAAATCACGGATATGTTTAAAATCCTCTGACATCTTTCCACGTCTTAACGCTTGTTGAAGCTGAGGATCAACTTTCACCCTCATTTTTGGACTCACAGTTGCCCCGCCAACTGCACAAGACACCAAGGAATCAGACATACAAGAAAGATTTGGCATAAATTTTTAAAAATACTGGCAACGATAAAAAAATTACCTTGAACAGAGTGCCCTTCTTGCCCATCACCTGAGGTAGCCTCCCTACCACTATAATCTACTCCCCATATACTTGCACACTGAAACTCCATCTTGTTCTCTGTGAGTGTCCCAGTTTTGTCCGAGAACACATACTTTATCTGCCCTAAATCTTCATTTATATTCAGAGCCCGGCACTGAAACCTTGAATTTGATGCCTCATCATACATCTGGGCATCTCGGATCATGAAATAAGCCTGACCAACCCGAACAAGCTCCATCGAGATGTACAGCGAAATAGGAATCATGATCTGGAACACAATTACTGCCATTAGGAATGTGAAGAATATCTCCATTCCCCATCCATAATAGTTATAGTTATCTGGCTCCTCTTCATTGTAATTCTTTCTCCTGTAAAAGGGCATAGTGTCTAACTCATCCCTGTGCCGCCTCAACCATACAGCAGCACATACTGATGCAACTGTACACAAGGCAACAAGAAACAGAGAGAGTATGATAATTTCCAAGTTCATGCGTGTCTCAAGCCTGCTTCTCTTTGAAGGGGCTCCCGAGTTATTCAGCATAGCTTTGGTCTCAGCCCCACAATACACAGCAACCCCAAGAATCGAAGCTGTATTCTTCAGGTCACAGCCTCGAAGGATAATGTTGGAAGGTCCAAGTGAGAGGCGCTTCCCATCAATCTCCATATTTCCATGGAATCCATAGATATTCCTATTAGGTTTCTCACACTTGATCAACCCAGAAAACCTTCCATTCTCAGGATTCTTTGAGAGGGTCTCTTGCTTTGCATACCGCGTCTTCAAATTTGACTCTCCGTCCAAGTTGATGGTCTGCACATAAGCAACCCCTGTAGGGTCACTGGTTGAGAGCAAGACCATATCACAAGGAAGAGTATCATTAGCTTCCACCTTGATAATTTCACCAACCTGAATATCCTTCCATCTCTTTTGTTGGAACTGACCATCCACTAAAACCCATGCCAATCTATTGTTCTCAATCTTATCTGCCCTATGCCTTCTCCAATCCTCATAAGCATCCTTAACTGCCGTAACTAGTAGCACAAATGCAAGTGGCAAAATGGAAGCTCCCCGCCCAAAAACGGCGAGCTGGGGCAACTGATTGAGGATAGCTATAATAAGGAAATAAATGTATGCAACTCGATGGAACTGTTCAAACAAATTTCTAGGCAAGAAAGAAATCACAGAGTATTTTGCAGTCCTAATGGAGTTCCTAGCAAACTCGAATTTATCATTCGTGCTTACAGGATCGTCAATATAGACAAACCTAGCATCTTCTTCATTGATCTCCTTCTGAGACATACTAAACACCTCTGAATCCGCCCTCCTGGATCCATACAACACAGGCTTAGCACCTAAATCACTGAAAGCAACTTCCCTAGTGGAACCCGCTCGAGAAGTCCGAGAAGCACTTCTCCTAGAATTGGAACTCAAGGAGATTTCACTGTTCACGGAGCGGTCAAACTGGATTGGGGAAGGCGAATCCATCGTAGAAATCGAAACCAACTGGAGGGTTTATCGAAAAGTTGGATCTTTTCTTTCCGGCGGATCAGGACCAACTAGAGAGACTGAAGGATCTCATAATCAAATGAGGCCTCACATAGGCCATGATCCGGAGAAGAAGATCAAATGGCTGTTGAGAAACACAGCCAGCTGAAAAAGAAGAAGGGTTTAAGAAACGCTCAGATGACAAATTGAACCAAAAACACAGAACTTGACCTGAACCCAAGTCGCAGATTCCAAAACGAACAGGCAGGAAAGGAAGACTGCCGGAGAAAAGGAAAACCCAGAAGCCAGCAACAGCCCAGCAACAGAAATCAGGCGGCCGGCAATCAAACCCCAGCTAGTGCTGCAGCTCCAAGTTGCCGGGAAGAAAGGGCTAATGGATGAACAAAAGGCAAAGGAGAATCGGTAGACGAGAGGAGAGAAACCGAAGCAGAAGAACAAGAAAGTTGGCTTTGTTGATCAAAGAGGAGAAGAATGAGGAAGATGGAATTGCAGAGAAAGTCAAAGGAGAAGACAAATGCATTGTTATAGCGAGGGAGGTGCGGAGAGAGAGGACGGCTGGCTGGCTGGGAGACTATTCCAAAGACGAGTTTTTCACAACCGGAAACATCCATAGACGAGAAGAGTCATAGATGGGTGGCGACAACAGCATCTCCAGGCAAAGGCAACACTCCTCCTGAATATAATATATAGAAAATTCCAGCTTTTGTTTGTGACTTGGGGGAGTGGGTGGCTCGTCTTTCCTTCTGGAAATTCAAATTCAACATCTTCCTCCTGCTCTTTCTGCAACTGCTCTGCGTTATTAGCAATTACTAATTACCCGTGTTTGTGTTTGTGTTTGTGTTTGCAATGGTCATTGACTCATTGGTAAGCAAGGATTAAAAGCATAAGCCAGGTTAAGGTACTCTGTTAAATAATAGGCCACGCACCTTCATAAGGGGAAAAGAATTAAGTATCTAGCTAATCCTTCATTGGTATTTTTCTTTTTTCAAAGTGGATGTACTTTATAAAATGAGACGTATTGATCTTACGCCAGCTGTGCATAATGTTTGGAAATGAATGGAATTACGGGCGTGTTTACTTGTTGGATTTGAAAATGAAGGTTTTGAGTTATAAAAATCTTTTTAGATTTATGATGAATTTGTTGCATTATGGATTTGGAAGAGTTCATTGTTTGTTTGGTTAATTTTTATCATGGATTTATCATTGATTTGTCTCACAACTTTGCCTTTCATGATCAAATCCCAAGTGAAATGTGGGATTTGCAAATCCGTGGGGTTCCACGGATTTGGATTTAAAAAAAGAGTATAAATCGGTGACCTCCACGAATTTGTGTGCTTAACAAACAATGAAGTTGTCCCAAATCCCTGATACTTGAGATTTGGGTGCCAAATCCATCACCCAAATCCCGCAAGCAAACGATACATTTATGTGTATGAGTTTGATGACACACCACACTTTGTATTCAATCTAATATGAAATTATTAAGGTTTCTTTTATTAACAAGCAACGAATTATGTGCTTTCTGTAAAGTTCTTAATTTTTTTTTTTTTCATGGCGAGATTCACCTCCTCCTAATATAAAATTATCGCCTAATATAAAATTATCGCGGTACAATCACACAAATTTTTTGGAATTCTAAGCAATTAGTTTATATGATCAAATTAATATGTCTAGTTTGTTCAACGTCCTCTTGGAAAAAGAAAGGTAGAACAAAAGTAAAAGTCTTGCGCCCCATTTTCTTTTCTCCCTTTCTTTCGTGTTCTAGATAGGCTGAATCGCAAAATGGCTCTCTCGTTTCCTTCTCTTTTTCTTTCCTTATCAGATAAGGAATGGAAAGTGTTTCTTTAAATTGCAGACGTTGAAAGGAAAATGGAAGAAGAAAGTTATTTTTATTTTAGTGGGCTGTTTGTTGTTTGTTATTTGCTGCAGATGAGGTGACGACTTTTCTTGTTCTTTCTTCTGCTGGTAATTTGATACACTTTATCACATTTGTCCGCTTCTTTTATTTCAACCAAGTTGTTGATCTCTTGTCTCGTTCGATTATTTATATTATTGCTGGAAATTAGCTCTAAAAATCAATTTCATGACGAGAATCCGCTTCATACATACTTAGTCTTGTTTACAATTTGCTTGATACTCTTGGTAGCCAAGATGCCCTTTGTTAGATCATGATGTCACTGACAAATAAAAGATGTGAAATGGTTGAAAATTATTAAAAATAGGGATTCATGTGGATTTTTCCTTTATCATTGGCTTCTTTGGCCATAGCAGATATTACTTACTAATGAATACTAGATAGCAAAGTTGTCAACCTGCGGTTCGACCCGGACCCGATCGAGTTAGTGGGTTAATGATTAATGGGTTACTCGGTTTAGCGGCTAACTCTCAAATGAACTATTTTAACCCGTTTTCAAGGCCGGGTCCGGGCCAACTCGCGAGTTGACAACCTTACTAGATAGTCTCTCGACACACAACAAGGGAGAGATAACTCAGAGAAATGATCTCCTTATCTTCTTCCATCCCCTATGTAACTTGAAAATTTTATGCTGCTTCATGTCAATTTACTATAACAAAATACGAGACGTTATAGATGCAACCCCTAAATCCTAAATCGTACTAGCCCACCAATCAGATTACACCGAAGATTGGTCAAGGGAGAAAATGTGACTTCAAGAATAAGTCAAGTGACACAGAAATGGTAATTGATCCATGTATCAAAAACAGAATCACGGACAATACAAAGGAGAGATACGATCCTCTAGTTTTCTTTCCTAAAAATTGATTCCCAATACGATTAATAGCAAGGCGATATTCTTTTTCTTTTTTCTTTTTTCTTTTTTGACAGTTGCAACTAGCAACGCGATACTCACTGTTAGTATATAGTTTCTTCGCTTTTTCCAATTTGGAAGGATAAATTTATTCATTTCAATGGAGTCTCTCTTCAAATAGAATCTCGAGGGAGGTAATTTCGAAGAAGAGAATATAAAGAGAACAATCAGAGGGGACAAACAACTAATGAGAGTCGCCCGCAAGGCGCAAATGGGTTTCTTTTTCGTCGCCGGCCAGAAGCAGAGCGGCGGAGGTGGCGAAATTTTGGAGAAGGATATTTACTTACTTACGAGTATATGAGTTCGATGAAGCCAAAGTGGGAGCGGAGACGCAACATCATAGATATCGGCGATGATCCGATCGGCCGGATCGCAGAACTGAGATGAGATGCCATTCTCCAAAACGGCAAAAACGATGCATCGGCGGCATGCCCCGCATGGGACGGCTAAAGGGATCTTCCATTTTTTTATAACTTATTTTCAACAGAGTCGGAGAGCATTTTTGAAAATTTTAATATATCTTCATTCAACGTTTTCTTGTTCCACCTGTTTCAAATTTGGACACAATTCGATAAGAAATACGAATAGAATTTCATTTTTCAGGTTAGGGTTTGATTGGATCGGGTTGGGATAATGGGTTGGGCATATGACATGGCAAGTTCAGTGACGTGGCGGGTCGATTTTCACCATTTTTTTGTCCGAAACGGTGTTGATTAGGCGCTCCCGTTAGTCATGTCAGCACAATAACGGACTCCTCTAACGGAGTTGGACGGAGACTAACGGAGAGTGACTAAATGTGACATGTTTTAGTAATTTGAGTGACCAAAATTGTTATTAATTTTTTTCTAGTGACTAAACATGACACATTTTAGTAATTACAATGACCAAATGTGGCATTTACTCATTTTTATCTTTACATTGATAGGAAGTCCATCTTAAGAGTCAAATGTGAGGTTTCAGAGTCACGATATCTGTAAATCAAATCCTCTTTGCGTGTTCAAAGAGTTTGAATGTTGAGAAATTGTGCTAGTTTAACATCCATTGATAGAGTACTCAGATGGTTATCATGGTTTTAACCAAATAGGTTAAACCTAAATTTTGATAGTCATTAAACAAAACAAAGTAACTTAACCACACCAACCAAATTAACCAAACCAATTATTAAATAGTTTGGTTAATTGATTTAAACAATGTAATATAACTTTACATGGAATTAGATCACTCCGTATATTCATCAAGAACTCTACAATTAGTGCTAAAAAAACATGTTTCAAACCCATTTGTGAATATGAGTGCAGCAAGAACATTTCTTGCCATACAACTTAAGACAGGAAATATAGGGCTATTCATCTTCCATTAGTTTTTAAAGATGCCAAATCCAGTTTACCAAATGCTATTAATTGAAATGGTTATCATGATTTTTCATCCGTGTTGTGTTGGAACGGCATTACCTATTGGTCATTGCTTATGTGAAAGGGTTTTGAACTATAAATAAGTGGGTTAGCCATTTGGCTAATGGGTTCCATGGATCCCTCGGCATATAGCTGGGCTGCTCAGCCAGCCCAGCCAACGTTTCCCCGTAATGGCGCTGAAGAATCGGGCCTGAAGAATTATCACATATTCAGTCCATTGATGCCTTTCTTAATCTCGATCCTTACTGGTCGGCTACGTAACCTTCTGCTCTATATCGTCATCTCTGCTCAATTATGCTCCTTTTGCCTTAAACCCTAACCACTCTGCTTTCTGGGGTTTAACGGCTTTCTCATTCGGGTATCCTCTTTGTCTACTTCGTTTCATTTATTCTGCTATTTATCTCAAATTTCCGCTTCTGGGTTGCAATTTGATCGTTCAATGTCTGCTTTCTGCTCTAAAAGTTAGCTCCTTTATTTCTTACTGTCACCGTTCTTTTGGTTGGGTGAAGGCTAATTTGCTGAGATACTGAACCAAAAATGGTGAGGCCGTTTGGGGTGAAGGGGCAGAAGAGGAAGAGGAAAGAGAAATATGACAGAGATGAAGAAGAAGGGGAGGAAGATGTCGCAGAGCCCACGGTTCAGGCAGCGTCGAAGAAAGCTGCGGTAGAGGAGAAGGACGAGAAGGAAATGGAGGAAAAGGAAAGTGAGACTGCAGCTGACGAAATGGCTGGCATCCCAATCGTTCAGATCGATCAACAGACTAAAAAACCTGGGGTCATTTTCGTGCTGGAGAGGGCGTCTTTGGAAGTTGCCAAAGTTGGTAAGGTAAGGTGTTTTCTCTTGTTGACTTGAGGTTCAAATGCTTCCCCAGTTCCCTGATGTTCATCAGTCACATTCGTTTCATAGTTTTATGCTCTATTCATTATGATTACAAAAGTCGTGCTGAGTGTTTAAGGTGATGTTCCAATCTTTGAAGAGTTCAGGTTTTAGCTTTGCGTTCTTGTAAGACTCAGTTACGAGTGTTGTCCTTTCTGATGCAGACTTACCAGATATTGAATTCGGATGACCATGCCAATTTCCTCAAGAGAAATAACAAAAATCCTGCTGATTACCGGCCTGACATTGTTTATCAGGTAACTGCACTTTGACTTATAGGGTTTCCCCTTTCTTGTAAGGGTTGTGAAAAATTTGATGCGGTAGAATGTGTTCCAAGATAATAATATCGCTTTCTTAGTTTTCTATAGGAAGAATCATTCAAGGGATTGGACTATTTCTGTGATGGGATGTTGAAATGTGTTGTTCGTCTGACTAGCCCTAAGAAAATGTTGTGCGTGTATGCAAACTGACTCTAAAGGTTTTGAATTTTGCAACAATGCAACTTCTTGTGTTTGCTCAACAGGCTCTCCTGTCAATCTTAGATAGCCCGCTGAACAAGGCTGGGAGGTTGCGGGCTGTATATGTGAAAACTGATAAAGGTGTTCTTTTCGAAGTCAAACCAAATGTGCGTATACCAAGGACGTACAAGCGTTTTGCTGGCATTATGTGTAAGTTCAACTCAACTCATCCACCTATTGCTCTGGGATCTTGGAAGTATCCTGTTTATCTCTTTTGCCTTGCCCTGCTTGACTATTGACTGCTGCTGCCTTCTGTTGTGTGTAGTGCAATTGCTTCAGAAGCTCAGTATATCTGCAGCGGGCAAAAGGGAGAAGCTTTTGCGTGTGATTAAGAATCCGGTAACCCAGTATCTACCAGTCAGCTCCCGCAAAATAGGTCAGTTTAGCTTCTCTGGGTGTATGTTTGCTTGCCCACTGCTCCATACACGAAGATTAAATGTTACTTGTTCCCTTTTGTGAATCAGGGTTTTCTTACAGCTCCGATAAGTTAGTGGAAATGAGCAAGTATGTGGGGACAGTGAGCAGCGATGCTGATCTTGTGTTTGTGGTATGAATATGATGCCTAAGAAAAAGAGAAGCTTTCTTTTTTTATTTGCTGTTTTTGTATGCTTGGTTTTGCAACTGAGTTTGTGGTAAATATATTTCAGGTTGGTGCGATGTCTCATGGGAAAATCGACTGTGATTACATTGAAGATTTTATAGCCAGTATGTGATTTCTTTCTTTCTTTGCTCTCTTATATGTTTTAGCAGATGACAAATTCGGTTCTGTAGACAACCTCAGATATAATGCCTTTGTTTTTATTGTTCGTGATGCAGTTTCTGGGTACCCCTTGAGCGCTGCATGGTGTATCGCAAGGATCTGTGAGGCTCTTTCGAACAAATGGGGTGTCGTGTAAAACAAATTACACAACCCTGTGCTGTCTCATGCCTTAACTGCACATTCAGACAATCTGCACGGGCAGTTTCGTCGAGTGTATTTGAGCTATGTAATGGAACAAATATATCGTTTTCCATAAATGTTTGGTCGTGTATTTGAGTGTAATTAAAACAGTAACTTTAATCTCAAATACAACGCCAATCACACATACATGGAGATTCTTTTCATGCCAACTGTGCAAAGCATCACTCTGATCATGTTGGGTAATCATACAGTGGACTGATCATTTAGATTCTTAACTCAGAAAAGAGGAAAAGGATTATCGAAGATAAGAACAGGAAGCAAAAGCAAAGCACAAGAATGTGATTCTTGTCAATTTAAACAGAGTGGAGCGATGGGGGCAAAAATAACCATCCACTTCATGTTTTGTTTTGTTTCTTAATCAAGCATGGAGAAAATCATGATGATGGTCTCTGGATTTGTCATGAAGGATCTATCTTCTTCAGTTCCCCATGCAGAGTTATTGGGAGTGCTGGTCATCATCACTTCCATCTCCATTGTTCTTGCCTACCATTATTGCACCACAAAACCCAAAAGTGTTGATTCAAATCTCTTTATTTATCCCATCAATTTTCTACTGTTTGTTGTTGCTCAAGCTGATGTTTGCTTGTCAATTGCTATGCTGTTTTGTGTCTCCAGGGTGCCTAGACCCTGAGAAATTCCAGGAGTTCAAGCTGGTTAAGAAAACAGCAGTGAACCACAATGTTGCCAGATTCCGATTTGCTCTTCCTACCCCGAAATCCGTCTTGGGTCTTCCTGTTGGGAATCACATCATTTGCAGGTGGAACTCTTGTGATATCCCTGTATATTCTGTCGTTCCTTTAGCCATGTATTAAACATATACTACTTCCCGCCTCCTGTGAACCAGGGGAAGGGATGCTGAAGGTCAAGAAGTTACTAAGCCATACACCCCGGTCACTCTGGATTCAGATTTCGGCTACTTTGAACTTGTAGTGAAAGTATGTTTCTTTAAAAGCAATAAGAAAACCCTTTTGTCCCCTCTTTCAATCGTGTTTCCTGAAGAGATTTGGGTGCTGCTAATGGACTCAGATGTACCCACATGGAAGGATGTCTCACCATTTCAGGGAAATGCATGAAGGCGACTATATGGCAGTGAAGGGACCTACGGTCAGTCAGTAGTTCTGTTTGCACATTTTCATGAATGGATATGCTTAGGAATGGAATCATTCCAAATACAATTACTTTACGCTATCACAGGGTCGTTTCACCTACAAACCGGGCCAAGTTAGAGCTTTTGGGATGATTGCTGGAGGATCTGGCATTACCCCTATGTTCCAGGTCCATGTTCAAGCAGCTGCTGATACATTTCTTCAAGTCCAATCATAAAGTTGAGCTTTCATTTGTTCATCCCTTGAACTTCTTTCCCTTTTCAATGTTGCAGGTGACTCGGGCCATATTAGAGAACCCGAAAGACAAAACAAATCTGTCTCTTATCTATGCCAACACAACATTTCAGGACATCCTGCTTAAGGTAACCCCGACTCAATTTTCAACGGATACATCATCATCGTATAATTTCCATAATACTTCTGTTCAATGCTGCAATTTTCTTTGTGGGCTCTGTAGGAAGAACTGGATGGTTTTGCTAGGAAATTTCCCAGTCGTTTCAATGTGTACTATGTGCTGAGTCAGGTAGGTCCTGCTCAAAAATCACCATTTTCCGACTTCCCCTGCATCAATCGATCCACCATTACTAATCCTGTAAACTTAACTGGTGCAGCCACCGGCTGAGGGATGGAGCGGCGGTGTTGGTCGCATAACCAAGGATATGATACGAAATCATTGCCCAGCTCCAGCTTCTGACATTCAGGTCAGTTTCCATCAAGTATACAGAGATTCGAATACAACTATACAATTCATTCTTTCACGTGATCATCAATTATATACAGGTTCTAAGGTGTGGGCCATCAGGGATGAACAAGGCAATGGCTGCTCATCTGAATGAGCTTGGATACACAGCAGATATGCAGTTTAAGTTCTAGAACTGATTTCTTATTTTCTCAGTGCTATGTATACAGATCATTTCATTCTATTCAGCTTACAGAATAACACATTTGAATATCTTCGAAAAATTCATTGGGCGTCAAATGCTAACATTGTGCATGGTAAAAGGTTGCTCTGAGTCTGAGCTTTGAAGAGTGGAAGTGTTTCTGTTTCCTTGTTAATGGGGAGCAGACATTGGGTTACGTGCACATAAGTTTCTCATATGATATTCAGGTCACTGATCTGGCATAGCATTCTGGAGATGGCTACCATATCCCGATAATTCAGATGGTTACAATAATTACAACTAGGCAGAACACAAACTCACTACCTCTTCAGTTATGGACTTCCATTTCTACAAAAATGCTAGAATATCTGCTGCAATGTGGAAGTGTCTCCTGATGCATGGACTGAATGACAAAGCTGCAAATCTATGTAACGGTGGTTAACCACTGGTGGCTCCAGCATTGAGGAAGAGGCTTTGGTTCGAATGCCATGGGAAAACTCTTAGATTTTCACGTACAAGTCCCATTCCAATCCCGGATGACCAGTGTTGTCAGTTGACAACACGCCACATCTATTCAAATCAGCAAGATTCAACCAAGTTAGGGCAAAGAGAAAATCGAAACACTAATGGAGGCATAAGCAACAACCACATTAGCAACGTTAGTTTGTTTTGAAGTTACGACATCAAAGAATGCACTACATATGAGATCATACCCACAAAAATTAGGTCAGCGAAATTGATTACCTAAATCAGAGAATATCATACAACTGACTCGTCATAACAGAAAAAGAGAGGAAGCCAAAAGCAAGAGTAACAAGGTGTTTAGTAGAGAAACTGTATGCTACCTGCAAGATTCTTTATGCTGTTAAATTTTCCTCGCTTTCCTGCTTCCTGTTTTTCCCCTGCCTTTTCCTACAGCAAATGGAAGAACTGATTAGCAAACAACATGCCACAAAATCAAAGATACATAACCAAAAGGAAGAGCTAAATTCACCAAATGAAAGACACCTAATAACCATGATCACAGAAATAATAGACACGTACATGACATGGCTAAGTATGGCACCACCAGTATACTAGTTTATGACTACTTTCACTGCTAAAATAATGTTCATGGGTCCATTAGAAACTCCCTATCAGATTCATAATGGCAAACATTCCAGTCAATGTTCTCCGGATGTTTTCATAACATATGACAACTTAACACCGAGAGAAGTTCCACACAACTAACTGGACGCAGATCAATAACCACTATCAGCATAGTATAATATGTAACTCCTTTAACTTCCGGTTCACCCCTTTCTCCTCACTGCTTGGTCTACCTAACCACATACAAAAGCCTGACCTGAGAAGCAAATAGTTGACTGCCCAAAAAACGACCAGGATCAGAACATAATAGCCTATGAACAAAACAGGAATTAACTCTGCATCCAATGATTTCGAAAGAACTTTGTGGTCAATCTCACTGAAAGTTATAGTCTTGATGCTGTTAAGTGTGAACAGAACATGTAAGAAGATCCATATATACAGATGGGCGTGGTTCACATGTCACATTGAAGCAATCGTCAAAACAGAATTTTAGTATACAAAGCAGCAGAGCATGACTATAAGACAGTGAGCCTTCAGAAGTAGGAAATTCCAGTTAATTAAAAGTGCAGAAACTTACTCCTCGTATGATGTGATTAGTGATTTGGGCCTTTCATAACCATCTTCATTTTTCCGAGGTTTTGGTCTGCTAGCAGTCTGCCTAGTTTCTGGTTTCCAGTTTGCCTTGATAAGAGATTGACCCAACAAATCAGCAATGTCTGTTGCCATAGCTTCAGCCTTCTTCCCATGTGGGAAACGTTCGTAGTCAAATTGATGAGACAACCATAGGTACATCGACAGAACTTGATGTTTGGTCTCCAGGTCCAGGAGCTCAGAGTCATTCCTAGCAGAACCTTTTGGCATCCCCATTGCTATACTAGCAGGTACTTTCTGACCGTAGTCAGAAGCAAACCTTAGAAGATGGTACATTGATTTTGGGTCCCTAATATTAGCAGGAGCAAAACAAAAGTTGAAACGATCTTGCAGAGATAAACCCTTAACTTTCTCCAACATATTTGCTACCTTCTTTATGTGATCATGCTTACACAAGAAGTACATTCCATCAAGACGGCAACTTTCAGCAAACTTTGCCAGAATCTTGGGGAAATTCAGATCAGGAAGTTGCGCTGCGAATGATTCGACCTGCTCAAAGAAAGGAAATAGTCCCACTTTCTTAATTTCGTCAAAAGGTTGCTTTAAGCACTCAATAAGGTACGCAAGATCATCTAGATGCAAGGTTGTGGTGAGTCCAACTGGGAAGCGACTTCCTCTTCTACCAGCTCTCCCTGCAATCTGCTTGACCTGGGTTGCTGGAACAGGTACAACCTTGTCGCCATTGTATTTGGAGAGATTGTAAAAGACAACTCTTCTGATATTTAGATTCAAACCCATTCCTACTGCATCACTTGCAACCAATACATCAAACTCATTGTCCTGATCATTGAATAAATTAGCTTGCTGTCTGCGAGTCTCGGGAGGCAATGCACCATAAATAACACAACATCGATGCTTAGTGTTTTTCTCAATTGCTAACTTCACCTCAAATATTTCTCTCCTTGAAAATGCAACAACACAGTCCCCAGACTTGACATTTTTCAGATCTCCCAACAAAGTTTTGGCTTCAACCTCCAACTTCTTGAACCGCTCGCAATGGTGTACTTCCAATTCATCTCCAGTTTCTGCACAAATCTTTCTCACAATGTCAAGCACACTTGGATCGCCACATAGATGAATTTCATCAGCCTTCACCCCCAGCAAAGCTCTTGTCCAGGCAAAGCCTCTGGTTGCGTCTGCCATCATCTGGATCTCATCAATAACCGCTACATCATACATCTCATCAATAGACACCATTTCTATAGTACAAGAAACATGGTTCGCAAAAGGAACCTTTTTCTTCTCTTGCCCAGTGAGAAGACTACAATAAACCCCAAGGGAATTCATCTTATCAAACACCTCCATAGCCAAAAGCCTTAATGGACCGCAATAAATACCCTTCTTTGCTTCCTTAAATCGCTGCAACGCCTCGTAAGTCTTGCCACTGTTAGTCGGCCCACAATGGTATACGACCTTACGTTTCATTGCCCTAGCAAAAGGAAACCAAGTGTCCGGCTTTGTAAGATCTGCTTTCGAAATCATAGCCCTGAAGCTCTTCATCTCATCAGCGAACTCTTCTAGACAGTATTCAGCAAATATGGGGAAAAGGAACCTAACAGCATCATCACAGGGACCAAGCGACACCAGATAAAGCCCAAGCTCAGCAGAACACTTATCCAAGACAAACTTCCTAAACTTCTGAACAGCTGTAGGAAAAAACGACATGCCAATATAAAATGCAAGGGCCTGGTTAGCTGCCCAACCTGAATTTGCAAAGTAAGAGAACACATCCTGGATTGCTTGCCAGTCAGACCGTCTCATCTTATCATTCTTCTCGGCCATCTTAAGCTCCCTGTACAATTCTATCGGATCACATAACGCCATATTCCTCTTGACAACAGTTTTTTCGCTGGCATGAGCATCATCAATGCCATCCGGGCGCACATCACTATCATCAACATCATCAAACCCCTGGCTCGTCACATTTCCTGCCCCAAAACCAGCATTCACATCAACGTCTGCACTGGCGCTCGCATCGCTGTTCCCACCATCCCCATCCTGGCCAGAGGTTGAAAATAATCTCACACCAATTGAATCAAAGGTGCCAACTTTGGAGCACTTCGATGGAGCTCCCGAAATAATTAGCTGCAGCTCGATCAAGCTAGTAAAGATTTGACGAGAAGGAAAGCCAAAAGAGTGGTAAATGTAGCGACCTGTGGATGATGCCCTGTTGTCGAATTGCCTCAAAGAATGCAAATTCGAAACAGCGAGGTAACCCCTGGTCCTGGAACCGGCGGTTTTCGACTTACAGAGCCGGAAAAGGGATGAAACACAACCCCGCGCCATAGTTCTTCTTCTTCGAAATTCAAGAACAGGGAACTAAGCAATAAGCATGCGCGCGAAGCTTCAGATACCAGACAACGATCTCGGAATGCAATTGACTTCCGTGAGAAACCGAATAGAATGCAGGGTGATGGATGGACGGGCGGTCAATACCCGTCAACCAGCTGGACCAGGATGCGCGATTACCGGGTTATAAATCTCAGGGCCTTTCCTTTCCCACTTCGCCTTATTTTTGTTCTCAGTGGCAACGGGTGGAGGGACGGAGAGATCCTACGAATGGCAACAGTGAGTAAGCACTGTGGAGGGTCGGAGTTGGGAGTAGCCGAGTCGCCGTCGATGGATGTCTAGGGTTTTAGAGAGGTTTTACATGAATGAAACCGGCGACAAGAGGTTTTACAGAAACGGCTATGCATAGCATCATTTTCCACCCAATGAGAAAAATGGGATGTCAAGAATCTACCTAAATAACGGTTTGACCCAACGGGTGAAATTACATGGTAGGCATGTGAGCCGGTTCGGATCAACCCAGTCTAAAAAGCAAAAATTCCTCCAGAGTCCAGCCCATGAATGGCCGAGTCCGATGAACTTCCACAGCCCGGGCCTTCGTTTTGTGCGATATTGGGCCGTCACGCTATCCAGCAGCCCAATCCCGTGGGCTTTCATCTCTATCTCAGAAGTCACCAGTCATAAACATAAAGGAACCCTTCTCTCCCATTTCCCAAACCCTAGCAGAAACGTTTGAGTCTCGTCTGCCGCGCCGTGCAGTCCTCTCTCGACTCTCGCCATCTTTCTCTGCTCTCATCAATGTAAGTCTCTCGTCGTCCCCGGTCCGATCGACAGTATCGTTTTTCGTTATAGGGTTTTCCTTTGTTGAGAGTCCTCCTCCGTCGCCGTCCACGTCACTCGCTGTTTCGTTCGTCATTTGATCGTTTTTTTCTCTTTCTGATCTGCTTGTAGCTAGAAACAATGTCGTTCGGAGAGGTGGCATGCAGTTACGCTGTGATGATTCTCCACGATGATGGCATCCCCATCACGGTACGCATCTCTTGGAACCCTTATCGAATTTCAATTTTGTCCCGGTAGATTTTGTTTTAGAAGGATGAATTGTGTTGTGTTGTGTTGTGGTTTTCGCCCACTTTGCTGAATGAATGTTTGGTTGCTTAGGCGGAGAAAATTAGCACATTGGTTAAGACAGCGAATGTGAACGTTGAGTCTTACTGGCCAAGCCTGTTCGCCAAGTTGGCCGAGAAGAGGAACGTTGACGACCTGATAATGAACGTTGGAGCTGGTGGCGGCGGTGCTGTTGCCGTTGCTGCTCCTGCTGGTGGAGCTGCTGCACCTGCTGCTGCTGCCCCTGCAGCTGAGGAGAAGAAGGTGAGTTCTGAGTTGCCTAATTCCTCTCTTACGCTTTTGTTGTTCGTATTGGCTGCTTTGAATTGTAGACAGTGGGGCTAGGGATGGCAATGGGTCGGGTTGGGGTTTGTCAAACCCAAACCCAAACCCATGGGTTTATCCGCCAAAAAAACCCGGGGTAAAACCCGTTGGGTTTGAAAAACTCAAACCCAACCCAACCCGCTGGGTATCCGCGGGTTCATGGGTACCCGTGGGTTTTTGTGGTAAAAAATTTACAATAACAAGTTTCTTTCAAAATAAAAGTTTAACATCAATTTTCTCATACAAATTAATCATACCAAAAAACACAAATCTAGAGCATACAAGCAAACCGCAAATGATCAATACAAATTGTTCAAAATTAAAGATAAACATCTATAAACAAAAGATTAATTGAAAGCTTCTTCCTTGTCAACTAAGTTTTTTCACTCTCCACTTCATAATATCAACTTAATTCTAAACAATTAGAAAGAACAAGTTATACATGTCTCCACAAACATACATAATATTAATTGTTTAAGGAAAATATATTATTTAGAATATTAAATATACCGGGAAAGTAATTATATGTGTGTGGGCGGGTACCCATTGGTCGGGTTTACTTAAACCCAAACCCAACCCGACCCGGTGAATAGTGTAGCGGGTTTAAACCCGAACCCGGCCCAAAACCCGCCAACACGGATTTTATCCGCGTTGACCGGGTTGGGTCGGGTGGGTACCCGTGGGTTCGGGTTTTGTTGCCATCCCTAAGTGGGGCAGCGTTCTTGATTTTAGTTTTACTCAGTTTGGTATTTAAAGTAATGGCGCGATGAATCTTTATTTGCAGGAGGAGGCCAAAGAAGAGAGCGACGACGACATGGGTTTCTCCCTCTTTGATTAGTAAGAAGAAAGCGCGATTATACATCTGTTGCCATGGTTGTGTACTTGTGTTCTGTTATCTCCCAAGTTTTGATTTAATTGTAGTTATTAATGTCCTTTTCGGAGGAGGGTTGAGGTATTGTTCTTGTTGCCACACAAGTTATATGTTCTGGAATTGAGATCCTTTGGAAAGTTACTTCTGCTTTTGGTGTTTTAGGGATAATACGAAATACTTGAGACTTGTTTCCCATTTGTGTCCCTTTTATCATGTGTATGATTTTGGCTTCTGCCCCCATCGTCTTTGGCTCGCCCATGAATGGTTACTGGGCAAGATTTCTGACCTAAAGGAGAAACACTGTTGGTGTCGATAAAACAGAATCGACCAGCCAATGGTTGTTTCGTGTTAAATTGTCTCGTCGGAGTTCTTCTGTCGCTATTAACACTTCTTGATAACTTGGGAGGTTGATTCCTTGATGCCAGAGCAGCAATTGATTGGCTTGCCCTAGGCTGCACCTGCTGGAGTTGGGTGCAAAGATGTATGTGGTCTTGACAACTTACAACTTGAAGTAGATGACAAGTAACCAAACCCAGGGAGGAGGAGGAGGTGAATACGTAACAAACACCATCACTGTTCCATATTGTTGAGGAAATTAAGCCAAGAAGAATTAAGCCAAGAAGAATATTACATAAAGTATCTTCCAAATCCTAATTTCCATGTCCTCTATCTACCTCTTTCCTGAAGGCCTCGACCGATTCTCTTCTTCACTCGTTCTTCTCCAAATTCCTCTTTCAATCCCTAGCAGGGAAGCCCGCTCAAAGGCTACAACATACATGTAAATTATAAGAGGGAATAAACTAGCACTTAAGAAACCAGTCATCGAGCAAACTTGCAGTATTTATACTAATTAAAGTAAGTATAATCGACTGGTAAAAGAGCGTGGATTAAGGAAAAAACCATACAACAAAAGTATTTTAACATAAGTCATAGTAAAAGGAGAAATTTCCTTAATTCACCGTTGCAAAAATGTTAATGAAATAAAACTTCGTTTAAAGTAAAGTCCTAGTAAAAGAAGATGAAAAAATAGGGGTTAAAATTAAGATGAAAAAAATAAAAAAATTACACATCCCCCAAAGGCACAAACCAGCTTGGCGTGCAAGGTTGTTAAACAGATTTATGCCAGTGTGCCGGTTTAGCAAGTGGAATGGTTCAACCGGTGGTACATACTGATTTGTGCCGGTTCATGTCAGTTAATATTACAAATAAAATTGCAAGTACTCATATTTAAACATGACATTTAACGTCAATACCTAAACATTTATACTTGAATCCAACAAATAACATCAATATTTAACTTATATACTAATAAAGTAAATAATAAAATAAGATCATTTTACTTAGAGATTCGTATATCAATCATGCCGGTCATACCGGTGGTGTCACGCCAATTTTATGACTCGTACCGGTTGAACCCGATACAACCGGTGGCACGCCGGCCGGCGTAACAACCATGTTGGCGCGCAATAGACGAAAGTTGCCCCAATCCAAAAAAATCCCTCCCCCTTTGCCTTCTTCCCATCCACTTCTCTCTTCCTCGGTTACTATTCAACTTTCCGACCACCAAAACCCTAAAACCCTACACAAAACCTCAGTTCCTTCCTGTATCCCACATCTACACTCGCAGTTCCTTTTATCTTCAATGGCATGACCCCTTCCGCATCTTCTTTCACTGTTCCTTTCCTCGATTCCATGGCTCTTTCCTCCACCCTCCGCTTCTCTTCTTCTCTCTTCCAGCACCACCTTCCTCTCTCCCCCACGCGATTCGCTTTCCTCCGCTACCATTTCCCCGGTCATTTCCGTCCCATCTCTGCATTCCCCTCTGCCGGGACCCGCTTCAACCCCATCCAAGCGCGTCGCAGGGACGATGCCGACGGCCAGAATGGGAGTCTGCTTGCGAAGGATTCCGACGATAGTGGCAGAGATGGGCGCGTGGTTCCTACCGAGCTTCACAAAGAGGCCACTGAGGCCTACATGTCCTATGCCATGTCGGTTCTGCTCGGAAGGGCTTTGCCGGATGTCAGGGACGGGTTGAAGCCTGTCCACCGGAGGATATTGTGAGTAATGTTTTTAGGTTTAATTACGGTTCTGCTCTGCTTTCCGTCTCTCCCAACTAGTGGCGGGGTTAAGGAATTGGAATTGAGAGTGCGGAGAAAAGGCGGAGTAACACTTATGCGGGGTTAACTTTATTGAGCTCTATCGTAATTGTTCTAAACTCCGGCTGCAGATTCGCCATGCATGAACTGGGTCTCTCATCGAAGAAGCCGTTCAAGAAGTGTGCTAGAGTTGTTGGTGAGGTGTGAAAGCTGTTTTCCCCCCTCCTTAAGCGATGAACGAGTCATGCATTCCATTTCCGATTCAGCAGGCTGCATATACGGAATCAGGACGTAAGCTTTTGGTTCGTTTATTGCAGGTGCTTGGTAAGTTTCACCCGCATGGAGATAGTGCCGTCTATGATGCATTAGTGAGAATGGCCCAGGTAAGCTCCTACATGCTGAACCTATTATTTTCATGTGCCTTTCATTTCTTCGCTGCATGCCCTTTTTGTCAGGAAATGTTTCATAATTTTAGTGGGATATGGTAACCCCGATGCCAATCCATATTATAATGTTATTATATTTACAAGTTCTATTATGTATGGGATGAATCACTTGTTGCTCTTGAGAAGATGAACTGTGACTGGAAGTCCCAAAACTTGATTTACCCGTTTAATTTGTTCCTCATGGCGAGCTGATGTAAAAGCAGTTTCTGACCACAAAGTTTGCTATCATCTTGGCATGGCTTTGGTATCTCACAGAATGTCCACCAATTAGTATACGTTAACTGAGAGAACCCTCAACGTGTTTTCATTCATTCTCTAAGTTTCAGCTGGCAATGCTTTACACCCTTTTCGAGTGAGTGATTACTATGAATTATATTGCTTATATTATCATTTGGAAATCCTCTTTCTACTGGATCCAGGATTTCTCGTTAAGGTGTCCACTCATCCAAGGCCATGGGAATTTCGGGTCCATTGATGCAGATCCAGCTGCTGCTATGCGTTATACAGAATGCAGGCTGCAAGTATGTCAAAGCTTCACTTCCTTGACAGTAGACTTGATGTCTAACCAAAAATTTTCGGTTCAATTATGTTAGCAGGTGGCAAAATTAGTTTTTCTTGACTATATTTCTATAATGCTATCCTAAGTTGCTAGAGATAGGATAAATAATATCTTCCCTCATGGGTTGTCTGATTAGTTGGATAGTTCATCCTTTTAGATGATAATATCCATATATGGGACTGCAACCGCTGGAAATATGAAGAGGGTCTTTGAACTGTTGGGTAAACCTGGCAATAAGAATGATTTGATACTTAATCGAGGTCCTTTTACACACCATCAATGAATTGTTGCCAAAATTGGTGAACATTATTTTTGAGGAGTCAGAACTGTCCATTAATAGCAATCTGAATCTCTGGACTCTAGCTCAGTAGTTATCTTTGCCTGATACAGAGTTTGTGAAAGATGAGAAAAACTAGTTCTTTCAACTACTGGAAGCATTTTTATCCAGCACGTTTGTAAGTTCTGCATGTTCCATTGTAGGCACTGACGGAAGCAGTTTTGCTGGCTGATCTGGAACAAGATACGGTAAGAGTTAGCTTGCTATTTACAAATGTTTGTATTATGCCTAGGTTCTCAGAATATTTCTGACCTACTCTGTTTGATAAAACATATTTGCAGGTTAATTTTGTGCCCAATTTTGATAATTCCCAAAAGGAACCGTCACTTTTGCCAGCTCGTCTTCCAAATCTGTTGTTGAATGGTTCTTCTGGAATTGCGGTAACCTAGACATATTTCTGTTTCTAGTGCAGTGGTTTCTCAGAGGCCTCTGCTTGTTATTGAATATTAGCTTTGCACATTTGCTAGGTTGGCATGGCAACCAATATTCCTCCCCATAACCTTGGAGAGGTGGTGGATGTCCTATGCGCATTAATTCACAACCCAGAAGCCACTGTAAGCACTAAGTTGATGCATTATTTTTATTTTGGAAAGTATCTTTTTCTTATAGGGAGTATTGGACTAGCCATAGTGTGTTGAGTTCCAGTAACCTTTATCTCTTCAGTGGGTCAGTATGGAATCTCTTTTGTCATGCTTAATCTACTGATGGTGAACCTGCAAAATCCTTGGTTATATTTTTTTAGTGGAGTTGCATGTTGTTGATGGATAATTACTAAAGTTTGAGTTGTTGGGTCTAGGCAGAAAGTTCCTTTTCCAGGACAATGACATCTTCCTGGACGGTTGTTTGTAGAATGGCATCTTCCTGGACAATGATATCTTCCTGGAAGGTTGTTCTATGTGTCGGGAGATGGGAACCTTGGTTATGACTTGGGTACTTTTTGAACAAGTTTCTGGATTGAAACAGCCAGATATCCTCATTGTTGAGAGGAGATAGAGGGAAAAACCAATGTTGAGATGCTGCTTCCTTGCTTGGTTTTGTATGTTTTTATATAGCTGGGAGATAGGAAGGTGATCCCTTCATCTTAAAAGTGCCGAGAATGCATAAGATTGTGTCGGTTTGGTTGCTTATTTGGAACTGACGAACTGTGATTAGAGTGAGCTTGATGCTTTTCAGGCTGTTTAGTCTGGTTGTACATGCTGGTTAGCTGGAGGCTATATATAGCTGTTAGGAAAGAGAATTGTAGAGGAGAATATTTTGTTTGTAAAGAAAGGTCTTCATTAAATTGTTGCTATTCTCTCTCCAATTTCAGCACAAAAGAGATTGCCTTCCTGTTCATTCAGCTTATCATCTGTGTTTCATTGACAGTTGCAAGAACTCTTGGAATACATGCCAGGGCCTGATTTCCCTACTGGAGGTCTAATTATGGGAAATGTAGGGTATGGAGAGTTCTTATTCTGACTTTGTTCTTTCAAGCATTGATTTAAAGCATCGCCCTTTTTTTTTTTTTTTACTTTGCTGCAAGTGAAATCTCCTAGATATTTTTCTGTAGTATGCATGAAATTTTTATTCCTACTATGATATTTTCTAGGCGTAGTTTAGCAAATCTTGTTTGATATCATTGGGGAATGAGTATAACTGAGGATCACGGTACCACTATAAGATGTGTATATATGAAAGGGTCCTGATATATGGCTGGCTGGTGAAGGATCTTGGACGCTTATCGAACTGGACGTGGGAGAATTGTAGTCAGGGGTAAGACAGAGGTGGAACTTGACTCCAAAACAAAGCGGTCTTCTATTATCATAAAAGAGGTAAACATTACAGTTCTTTTGGATTTTTATTTTTATTTTACTGTTATTATTGGGTCTGCCTGTTGTGTTCCTCGCTGAATATTGGTTTCCACCCAAACAGATTCCATATCAAACAAACAAAGCTTCCCTTGTCCAAAAGATAGCTGAACTGGTGGAGAACAAGGTACTTTCTTGTTGTCTATAAGGAGTGTGCCACAGGAAACCAGAAAGTTAAGAGTGTGTTAACGTATTTTATACATCGTCATCTATTTGTTGTGTTGTGAAGCTTAGAAAGATGCAGAGAAGGGTAATATGAAAGAGATCCGAGGCTCTTATTAGGATGTTTACTTATTATAGATTGACCTGTGATAAACTTATGATTTATGAAGATCAGAAACTTGTTGTTATTTGTATTTTTTTTTATTCCTTTTCTTTGTCATTGGCATTTACAGAGTATAGAGAGCGTTACTGATATCCGTGATGAAAGTGATCGTACTGGTATGCGCATTGTAATCGAGGTATAATAAATATTTGTGAAAAGTGTACAAGGATAGAAGTGCTTCACTTTACTCGCAAACTATTATAGTTAGACTTAAATTACTTCCTTGCAAATTGCAGCTGAAACGTGGAGCAGAACCAGCGCTTGTCTTGAATAATCTTTATCGTCTAACTCAGCTTCAAACTAGTTTTAGCTGCAACATGGTTAGGTGAGTAGTTCATTGTCCCAACTGGTTAAACCCATTAAGAACGTAAAGGATTGTTTGAGATTCGAGACTGCACTTCATTGTTTATATAAAATGTAATCAGCTAATGACCATTTCATGTGTCCTTTAATGTGAAACGGAGGTTGTGGATTGACCAAGCTTAGCTGGGGCCGATTGCATTTTATTCTTGAAGAGATTGTGTCCTCATGAAACTGGATATGAAAAATTGTTGTTATATTTTTGAACTTTTCAATGTTTCTTAGGCCACACTTATTGTATGCAGGAGAGAGAGATCTTTAGTTATGAGTATGAGCATGTTTTAATTGATGGAAAGAGCATGATGAGTTTAATATTAGTTGCTTTACATGGTGGCTGTTCCACCAGGATTTTTGTGGGGGTACATATTTTTTTCTAACATAGTTGCTCAATATACTCGTGATTGGTGGTCTGACACAGTATTCTGGATGGACAACCTAAACAGATGGGACTGAAAGAATTGCTTCAGGTGATTACTCTTACATGGTTTCATCAGAGAACTGCATCTTCTTTACATGCAACACAATTATCCATCAATCCTTCCATTTGTTTTATATGGAAAGCACCTGCACTCTGTTTTATGTATTGCTAGCTTCAGAATATTACGTGGGCATAAACTTACCCTTGTTTTGCTCTTGCCAGGCATTTTTAGACTTTAGATGCTCTGTTGTTGAGCGACGTGCGCGGTTCAAACTTTCACAAGCTCAGGAGAGGAGACATATCGTTGAGGTATGCTAAGTGATTGCGTTGTTAGTTAAACCATGGTATTGTCACGGAATATACTACTAAATACATCTCCATTAGCCAACCTGAGATGTTTACCATCCTTGTCATGTGCTTGTGTTTGATCTTGTTTCTATACATGGAAGAGCTATTTTCAGGAAATATATTAAACTGATTTCCTTTTATTATTCGCTGCTCACTTATACGCATCCTGGAATTTATGGGCTTACGGTGTCGTTTCTTCTCAGGGTATCGTGGTGGGGCTTGATAATTTGGATCACATAATTCAAATCATTAAGAAATCTTCCAGCAATTCAGCTGCATCTAGTAGTCTTATGAATGGTATGCCATGTTTTGTTTTTAAGATAGGAACTGATTTGACTTTAATGAATGCAAATCCTGAAAAATTGGGGAGTAAATAGACGGTAGAATTTAATCAGAACTTGGATAAGCTAAAGTGACGTACATGACTGTGCTGACCTGATATATTGGCATATCATGCACAGTTTCTCCACATGAATAGCAGACATTGCCAAAGTTGAAGCAGTTGAGGCTTTCATTTGCTTTTGTGAATTTTAAATGACTAGAAGTGTCAATAATTTGTTCATACGTATGTCTCAGATGGTATAATGTAGTTATCAGAAAGAAATTGTATGTTGTCATAATTATCTTCTATTTCTGAATGAGATTGTCATTTTGATGTGTCTCACTTGGATTACTTGATCATGTTTAATCTTTTCCAAGAGTTTTGGGTAGTTGATCCTTTTCTTTCTTTCTTTCTTTTTCTTTGTTTGTTTGTTTTCTTCTTACAGAATTCAATATTTCAAGTAAGCAAGCTGAAGCTATATTAGATATAAGCCTCCGAAGGCTCACCCATCTCGAGGTGCATAAATGATGCTTTGGATGCTTATATTTGTTCGAAAGCAGATATTTTGGTGATAAGCCATCTAAAGGCAACTCACACCTTTTTGTGCAGAGAAGTAAATATGTAGATGAAAAGAAATCTCTTATGGAACAAATCTCAAAACTAGAGGAGCTACTATCAAGCAAGGGGAAAATGTTACAGGTACATACTCCCTTTTTCAGTTTCGTTAATAGTTTCTGGTAAATAAGTATTAGTGAACCTCCTAAACCCTCTGTTGTAATATGCCCCAGCTCATAGAACAAGAAGCTGTTGAGCTCAAGCACAAGTTTTCAAACCCAAGGCGCTCTATGTTGGAATATTCTGATGACGGGCAGCTTGAAGATATAGATGCTATTCCAAATGAAGAAATTCTGTTGGTTTGTGACCCTAAGAATCCTTAAATTTCTTAATTTCTTATGCTCTTTTGAATGAATTTATTTACTTCATGGTGTCACGTGTGTATTGTTGATTGGTTTCAACAGAATGGACTTCTATGCTGAAGTATTCTTGTTTGTGTGACTTACAGGCTATCAGCGAAAAGGGTTATGTTAAGCGGATGAAGCCCGACACCTTCAATCTGCAGAAACGTGGAACCATTGGCAAATCTGTTGGGAAATTGAGGGTCAATGATGCAATGTCAGATTTTGTGGTCTGTCGATCACATGACCACATTCTTTATTTTAGGTAATTACTCTATGTTTTTTTATCATGCTTTATATGAATATATGTCCAGTAGAGGCTAGACAAAACTTGTCTCTGGTGAAAAGAGTAAGTTCCGCTGCCTAATTTATGTTCTATATTATTCACACATTGGTTTTCCGTTTGTCATATTTTATCAACCCATTTACTGCACTCAACAACTAGACATTCTCATCTTACATCCAGTCAATCAGGATTACCTCTTGTGACGATTCTTTGACTTTAGTTTTCGATTGCTAGTATGTGCTTATTTCTTAGTTTTTGTATCATGGCGACGTTTAACGGCACACTGTCCAGTTGATAAATTTATTGATTTGTATGTATTATGTCAACGTTTCCATAATGATAATGGCAGATGAATTGCTAATCATTGCTGGTTGACCTGACATTTCCCATTTGATAATGGGTTGGTCTAGACATTTTTATCATGATATTTCATTGAGCTTTAAATGTAACCTTACTTTTGCAGTGACAAAGGTATAGTCTACTCATCACGTGCTTACAAAATTCCTGAATGCACCAGGAGTGCTGCTGGTACTCCTCTGGTTCAGGTAATTTAGCAGTCTTGTGCTTTGCTCACTGTTAATATTTTCTGATGTCTGACTCTGCTAATTATCTCATCATATGGAGACAGATATTATCATTATCTGATGGTGAGAGAATAACGTCCATAATTCCTGTGAGCGAATTCCCCGAGGATCAGTATCTACTGATGCTCACAGTCAATGGGTACATCAAGAAAGTATCTATGAATGTCTTCTCAGCCATACGCTCAACTGGAATAATAGCAATTCAATTGGTTTGTATCTTTTGTGCTCCATTTTCTGTATCTCTGCAGTTGATTGCATATTATATAAGCAAGCTGAAACTGGTAATTTGTCAGGTTCCTGGTGATGAGCTGAGGTGGGTGCGCTGTTGCACAAATGACGATCTTGTTGCTATGGCTTCACAAAATGGATATGTTATCCTAAGTTCCTGTGACAAAGTATGTAGGTCGTTCTCTTTGTTGCATATTCCATGTTTGTGAACCTTCCTTACATGATCTTTAAGCATTCTGGGGTCATTTAATCGATTATAGAAATTATAATTCTTGTATCGATTTCATGGCCATGACTGAGTTGTTGCTCATTTTGTCGGGTTTTCTTTTGCCTGAATTTGTTTTAAGCTTGACGCAACACTTTTTTGTAAATATGCTTTTTAGTGTATTGTTCGACCTCTGCATTCACTAACCTGTGTTATGCACCATTTTGGCAAATCAGATCCGGGCACTAAGCAGGAATACTAGAGGGGGAGTGGCCATGAGACTAAAAGAAGGTGATAAGATGGCAAGTGTGGACATCATACCAGCTGCGATGAGGGAAGACTTGGAAAGGGCGTTAGAAGATCCAGCCAACAAGTAATTCCTTGATTTAATGCCTTGCATAATTTTTTTATGAGGCTCAGTGCTTGCAACTTCGTTCTACACGAAATTAAAACTCCCTTTATGTTTCTTATTCGGAGGACTAACCTTAGTGTCTTTATTCACATGCCATGGTTGATTGAGAATATAAGTGATCTATTTAGCAATTTAGACAGCCATGTGTATTTTTACTCTTGCTTGTTTGTATCACTGCAAGACTGTTTGTTTTCAAACAGATTGTCCGCTTAGCAGTGAGGGTGAAGCGTTTGTTTCTGTTCTAATTGTAGTTTGCTAATTGTTCTATGTTGGCAGTAAGGGCAGTGGTCCATGGCTGTTGTTCATCTCTGAGAGTGGCCATGGGAAGAGGGTTCCTCTAAGCAGCTTCAACATACTGCCTCTAAACAGAGTTGGTTTAATTGGCTCTAAGGTGATCCCTGCTGCCTTTTCTTTGCTCTTAAGTTATATTTCACTTCTTTCAGAAATATGCATCTGATACTGTTAGTTATCTTCTGAAAACACAACTCATCGTGCCCTGAACTAATGTCAGTTTTCCGAGGAGGAAGGACATTTGGCAGCAGTGTTTGTGGTTGGTTTCTCACAAGCAGGTATGTTGTTGATTCAGAGGTCAATGCTCAGGGACAGCATGTTCTTGGGAATTGGCCGTCTATGGTATCCCATCTGAGCAGCGTGCTGAAATCTTTGCCTTCTTTTCCTTTTCCCATTTCTGTTTGTACAGAGGATGGTGAAAGTGATGAACAAGTAGTTCTAGTTAGTCAAAGTGGCACCGTGAATAGAATCAAAGTCCGCGACATTTCTATACAGTCACGCTATGCAAGGTAAGTTGTGTGTGGATTGAGTATTGTATCTGCCTCAACAGCATTGTCCGGTTCAAATACCAGTCTCTACCTGGCAATGTTGTTCCCGCTCAGTGGCTTTTCTGCAAGTGCTGAACTCACTCTGATTTTTCTAGGGGAGTGATTTTGATGAGACTTGAGTATGCCGGAAAGATTCAATCAGCGTCGCTAATATCTGCGATGGAGGCTGAAGCAGATGATGAACAAACAGTAACAGCAGAAGATGAAGCAGCAGCAGGTGTTTTGGTGGCTTCCCAGTGATCCTATTTTGGACATGTGGTAACGAACTTGTACAGCGGCCCTTTTGTGTAAGTTGTCATTTGTATTTGTCCGGATACAAACTCTCCACTGATAATTTTAGTGCTATATGGTGATGTAAGATGGCCTATGGTTTTGTTAAATAGTGAAAGAAGGGACTATGTATAATTCAGTAGTTATTTAGGCCGTTGAGGGCTTGGTTGGGTTTTGTCAAACTCGAACCCAAATTCATGGATATATCTGCAACAACACTTAGGAAAAAATTCAATTGATTTGGAAAATTCAAACCCAAACCGCTGGGTATTGATGGGGTCATGGATACCCATGGGTTATATAAATGCACGATAACTTCTTATCAAAATAAAAGTCTTAACATCAATCTTATACAAATTATTCGTACAAAAAACACCAATTTAGAGCATACAAGCAAACAACAAATTATCCATACAAATGGTTTAGCATTAAAATAAATATTCATAAACAACATTAATTAATTGAAAGCTTCTTCCTCCTCGACAATTAAGCTTCATTCTCCATTTCATAATATCAACTTCATCCTACACAATTAAGAAGAAAAAATTAGACAGGTACGAGTTGAACGGGTAAACCCAACCTGCAAAATAGTAGAACGGGTTTAAATCCACACTCGGTCCATAATCTGTCAACACGGATTTTACTCGCTTTGACCGAGTTGGATTGGGTAGGGTATTCGTGGATAGGTTACGTTGCCATCCCTAGTAACAATGACTGGGTGAGTCTAGTTTGGAGGGATAAAATACGCAACAACTTATATTTATGTATTCATTGGTATTTTCATATTATATCGATCTCAATCACGCAATCCCTAAATCTTAAATGACACTTGAAATTCAATTAATCCTAGTCTCAAGAAATTATGTGTCTACCCGACGATACTAAATATAAAAGTTCGATACGACAAATCAGTATATCTCAAATACCTGTACCCAAATTCCAACACTACATATAACTATATAAGTGATTTATGAGGAATGACAGTTCCAACAATGTGGTATCATAGTTAATATCAAAAGTATAGATTGGATCTAAGACGGGATGTAATCAAGGAGAGTTAGTATTTATCCTCGTAAAAATTGTTATGAATGTTTAGTAATTTTATCATTACTACGTTTGTAGTATAAAAAATTTAAAAAAATTATGACTACGTTTAGCTATAGGGATATGTTAGGCAAAAAAAAAACGTTTTGGGGAAAGCGGAAAAGGGAATAGATGAATAGACGACTTTATATTCTTTTTCTTATATAGTGAAGAAAGACAAAAAGAAGAAAATAGTGCCAACAAAAAGGAAGCAACGTTAACGTTAGCCAGCTACAGCTAGGAAATACCTTTCAATCAATCAATAATTCAATTCCGGAATTCAACAACGTAATACTGCTGCACCCACCACTGCAGCCGACGAACCGGGCGGCCACAGAGGAAAGATCCAAACCCACTTCTTCTTCTTCCTTGTACCCAACCCCAAACTCATTCCCCAATTCCCCCGTCTCAGCAAGTTGTTCTAGCGGAATTCCCAAATCGGGGAGCTCAAGCTCCGTCTACACCCAACAATGGCGGTCTCTGCTTTCAAATCCACTTCCAGACGCGGACCCACTCGCCCTTCCCCCACTTCCTCATCCCTTTCCGATAAGGAGTCCAAGTCCGCCGGCAATGCCAAAACCGCGCCTCCCCCGCCGCCTGCTCTCCGCCGTTCTAGAAGCGTCAGCGCCGTCGCAAGAAACCCCCGCGGCGTTGACACTTCCTCCTCCACTTCCACTTCCCCCTACTCTTCCTCTGCTTCTGATTTCCTGATAACCAGGGAGAATCCGCTCTACTGGTCGGACAAGGAAAAACCCAAAGACGCTGCTGCGGAACAAGATTTCCCAATTCTGGCTTCTTCTAAGTCACTCAAGGAACCCACTCCCAAGCCAAGGGCTCCTCCTGAATCTGATACTCGGAGGGGAAGGTCCATTTCCAGAACCGCAGACGCTATGAAGACATCAGCTCCTGCCAATGGCAAGCTGATTCCGAGGCAGAGAAGCCCCTCTAGGGTGGATATAGGCCGCCGCAACCGCGCTCGCTCTGTTTCCCGGGCCCCTACTTCCCGGAGCTATGGCTCTTTGAATTCTGAGGTCTGGAACCTGTACAATGATATCTGGGTTTACGTTCTCTTCATTGTTGGCTCTTTTCTTTGTTTTTTTTCGGTTCTGGGTGGAATTGAATTCCCTTCATTCACAGAGCGATGTTGAAGTGAGAAGAAGCTTGCCGACAGTGCGCAGAAATGGGAATGATGCAAGTGGAGTAGTGAGTGGTGGGAGAAGCAATGGTTCTGAAAGAAGAAGTGCTGACTGGCAGATTCAGTCGGATGGTTCTGCTACAACCGTGGTATCTTCTTAGCATTTTTAGTTTTTCTTCTGTTCTTGTTCAGACGTACTATGAAATTGAACTCCTGGATTTCTTAAATATGTTCTCTCCTGTGTTTCCATTTGTAGCCTCCTTCGCCGTCTTATAGTTGGGAAGATGCAGCGTTAGGAGGCTCAAGTTCAGATGCTGAAGAGAGAACTATCAAGGCTGTATGTGAACAAATGAAGGTGAGGTGTGGACAGTGTTATCATCCTTGATATTGGATTATGGAAGCTTTATCGAAGTTTTTCCCCCTTTTGTTTCTTGCAGGCCTTCCAAGTGGATAATTTGGAAGGTGATGCCTCTGGTCGTATATATGAAACTGTTCGATCTGAAGTCAGACGTGCTATTGCTGACATCCAAGGTGACCTTGCAACTGTAAGTCACTTTGCTGAGAGGAGGCATGACTGCATCCTAATTTTGTAGTGTATTTCTGCAGTGAAATGTCTTTAATTGTCAAAAACAGACTTTTATTGAACTATCTTCCTGAATATGAACTTGCATTTGAAACGATTCTTTATCACTGTAATAGTCAGTGGGACTGAGCTTAACTCATGAATGTTTGTTTACTGGATAAGGGGTGATTAATTCTATTTACTGTTTAAGGGTGATGAATCTAAACACGTGAACAAGCAGGCATACTATATCATTGACCTGTTTATTTCGGAGTTCAGGCCATTGGAAGGAATGCTGTTGCTACTGCCGGAGTTGCTGATGTGACTGATATTCCTCCTGACTTGGTCAATCCCAGTGCTGTTGAATTAGTTCTGGACATTAGAAGAGAGTACACCACAAAACTAGAACAGGTTAGTCCCCTTGTTGACTGATGTGATTCAAACAGGTTTTGCTACAATGCCACACAGATTCAAACATGAGCCTATTTGCTTTTCTAAGCTTAATCTGAACTGGAATCCTCTTATCGTTATTAGTTGCAACGTTGAGGCACAAACTAAAATGGAGGTTACTGTTTTACTAGATTTGGTTTTAGTTTGGAGTAACAAGCAGTTGTCAAGAACATGCTTATTACTGTAATATTGTGTGATTTGGGGTGGATATTCTTTTTGAAATCTTCCCAACTACTTGTTTTCCTTGAGCATGTTATCGCCTCAGGAGATAATGAATTGATTAGTTTCTTCCCTGGATGTATGTATAGACATGTTATAGATTAAAAGCAAATATTTATTTCTAATTCCGATATTACTTGATGGTAATCTGCCATTTCAATTTAGTAAAATAGTTGAACAGAAGTTAGCAACACTTTTGCTGGTCTTAAATAATAAACTGACTTGTAATTTATAAATCAAAAGTTAGCTAAGTGGGCTAGAAGGTGTTCATATTTACTCTGTAATCTTGCATGAAAAATGACATGGTAAATCTTCTTTGCTTTTGAACAAAAGCGTGTTTATTTATGCAGTTACACTAGTGTATAGTGTCTTTCTACCTTCTTACCTTTCATACTTTTGACTGAGACTTCATAAGCGAGATGCTCGTATTAAATTTGGCAGTCCCATGAAAGGGCTATGAAACTTCGGGCAGATCTAGCTGTTGAGGAGCACCGTGGTTCAGAGCTGAGCAGAATTTTGAAGGAAGTACTCCCAGACCCTAAATCTTCTAATGAACGCAAGCCTCGAGTAGGAAGAAAAGTAAGTTGTCTTTTCAGCGAAAGAAAGTTTTCTCATATGTTACCTCAGTTTTGCTATGCATCTCTGCATATGAAATCATGTTTGTTGCTCAACAGAGGTCTGGTTACACATTGCAAAAAGGCAAATAAGAAAATGGCAGTGGTCTGTGTGTATCTTTTTGTCTTGAGACTTTCTTTTCTCGTAACTTTACCTTTTCAGCTTCTAAATTAATTAGTGGATTTAAAACAATTAGATTGGATGAAGCTTATGTTGTGACTTTCTGTGTTGCACCTTTTCGCTTCTACAAACATCACTGGTCTAATTATTCGTGTTCTCTTGTTTGTTGGCAACAGTCTAGTATTGAGAGAAGGAAGATGTCAAAACGGTTAACTGAAGAAGCTATGGCCTACTTCGACGAATGTGTCTCACTCTCGACTTTCGACAGCTCTGACTTTTCTTCTCAAGATGACCCGCCAATGAGATTCGTTGGCACTCATGTTGCTGATCGTTCTCCTTTTTCCCCAGCAACCCCTAGCATGACAGCAGACAGCGAACTTCTTAAAAGTGAATCCAATAACATTAAGGTTTGTCGCTTTCATAGACTTTATCCGCGTTGTATGATTTGAGGGGATCTCTTTACAAACATGTCCCCCCTCGAGAAAATATCCCCTCCAAATATAAGAATTTAAATGACCAGAGCTTGTATGAATCGGCAACAAGTTCATGAAAATGCTATAGAGCATAGGCGATGAATAATCAAGGTTTTTTGCTGCACTTACAATTGAAGAATCTCTGATTGATTAATTGTGATGTTGGTATTCAGGAACCAGCAAGTATGCGGAGAGCATCAGGGCTATCAGCCACCAGCAGCGACGAGCTTGCTGCAGCCGGTGAAGCTAGCATAAGCAGCTCCCAGACAGAATCAGCTCGGAGTTTTCAGTTTTCCTTCTCACGCAAGTCGGATAACAAGTTAGATATTCAGCAAGACATTGGAAAATACACCAAACACTTTGGGAAGGACATAGAAAGAGCCGCCGACTCCCAGAGCTCAGTTTCAAACTCCTATGGGTATGATATCGAGGAATACAACCAACAGTCCTCGCAGCAAAGCATGCTATTCGACAGCGTTTTCTTCAGAAGCAGAATCGAGTCCGGTAGCATGCTGTTGTGCGGCGGTGGTCTTGGGGTCTTGTTCTGACCAATGCCTTCTGCGCGATTGTTATACCTCCGGTTGGCTTTCACGAGGCTGCAGAATCTGTGGAGGAATCACCATGTCTGTTATCTCTCCCTGGTTCTTAGTATATTTGTAAGACACACATGATTGAAATTGATTGAGCTGCGAGTAAAGAAAGATACAGAAGGCTTTGCTGCAGCAGGATGTAGCAGTATTGTAGATGCTGTTGCTAAAGAGCATCCCTCAACTAAGTGTGAAGATGGAGTTGCTGAAATTGGTGGCTTGTTTGGAAGCGTTGGCAGGAGTTTTGCTTATCAGGTTGTACAAAATTTTGTTTGTTTTCAAAAGAAAAAGAGCGGTTTAATCATTTGCAGAGAGCAGTGAGTATATCTTGTTGTGTAAGACTGGAAGATTATGGCATTCTCCATAGATGTTGGCTGGTAGGGTTGATCCTCTGTTTGTAGAGATCGGAATTCCGGCTCTAAAATCTAAAAATTTGGAACGGAATCCTCTTCTTGGAATTGACGCCTCTATGTATTCTGTATTTAATCGGCTCGAGTAATGCAGCTGGGCTTTGGGCCCATTTAAATGACGGGCTGGCCCATACTTAATCAAGGCAGGCCCAACTCTCCAGCAATACAAAGGGACAAACTCCTCTATTCAGGTGCAACGTCGTACAGGCTAGATTTGAATTTTGATGACAACCAGCAACGCCACCAGATCCATAAAGTATTGTAACTAAATATGGCGGATAATTAACTATTAACAACCACATAATTAGCATATATTGTGCCGCACATGATTAATATAGTAATACTAAAAATGACAAGAAAACAAAATGGGAGCTTAAATTGGACTAGTCTCCTTAATTGTTCGGAGGTTTAAAATATGTGTCGTGTCTCACAACGGCCATGACGCAAGGCCCTTGGCAGTTGGCACCATTGGAGGCAAAGCAGATCCTATCATAGATCCACACGCACCCCACATTCTCCATTATTTCCCACAACATTTGAAAACAACACTAGACTAATAGTCTGAACGGAAAAAAACCATCTATCAAAAAGCACGATTAAACCACAATTTCAACGTAGAAACCGATTTCCTGTACAATTTGTTACCATGATTTCTCACTAACTACAGACATTTTATTACCCTCTTCTTGCAGTTAGTGGTTTACAGTACTCTTCCATTTGGAACCCTTCCTCCCTTTGCTATTTTCAGGTGATTGTGACGACCTCAAACACAAAGATATAATAATAAACCCCTCTGTGGAGCAAATGCATAACATGTGTGGAAATTGGAAAAACATGAAGCTTCCCCCGGAGTCAGAGAGTAATATTCCCGCACCTCTGACATACATACATATATATATATATTATGAACCCCAATACCTTCATCATCTTCACAACGTACGGTCTCTTCCCATCTCTCACATCTTGTCCCACAAAAGCAAACCATGCAATCATACAACAGTCTCTACGATGCCACCTCCTGGGAGTCCGATTTGGCTCTCTTGGACTGGATATTCTCCGAGTCGGAAAATGCCTCGGCGGCCCAAGCCTCGTGCTTCCCTGCTACCAGCTCCACCATTAATAATAACTAGTTTTCATTGCCCGCGCTCTGCGTCGGGACTTGAGATAAATTCATAGAATGTTGCGGATCTACAATCATTCAAATTGATATAATAATGCCATTTTTATTTGTTTTCCTGTGCTTATAGATGTTGTGATTCGATAAACAATAAGTTTAAGGGGTCGTTTGGTTTTGGTGATTGCTTGGTTGGGTTAGTTATAATGCATACAATGTCCACAATGTATTGTTTTTCTGAATTTTTTGCGCAAACAATACATACATTGTTTGTATTGACACAAACTATCACTCAAAATGAGTGATAGTTAAATATCAAGTTTTCTTTAAGATTGTTGAGATTGTTTGATGGAGATTGTTGTGTTTTCTTTTCTTCTTCTAAACATATCCCTAACTTTTGATGTGTTGCTTTTTAATAATACAAACAAATGGTAAAAGTGACATTTCACCCAAAAATTGATATAATTTATTTAAATACTACAATAATATCACAGAAACTAAACAATGTAAACTACAATACATCAATTTTCTTACATACACATGTATTATTATGAATACATTATTCATGCATTGATGACAATACATCGATTTATATATTACCAAACCAAACGACACCTAATTCTTTGTTCCGACAATAGAAAGTACCGATCAATTATGGTAGTAATGTTAAATTTGAATCTCTGCCTCCCTGGTCGAATTCAACCCCCAAGTCCTGACTAATATGTTCTGGAAATGGGCAAAATAAAGGCTACACATTGTGACTTGTGAGCACGCCCGAGGCCCGTTATTCATGCAAAATATTCTCCCGTATCTGTAATCAGCAAAAGGGAAAACCAAATTAGGGATCAATGTCATTGGCTAAGACTACAGCGAAGAACAACATAATAAACAAAAAAGAGGAAAGCTTGCAGCAATACTCTCCATCCCTTTACCTTTACGAACCTTAAAGTGCCAAACATTAGTCAATGGAGCTCTTGATAATCAATTTGGTAATCTCACTGCAAACATCCAAGTTCTGAAATGAGAAAATCATTGAAAGCAAGAGGGCTAGCACCTCGAATAAACAATCTTCTAGCTTGTCCAACTCAACATAGGCTAACTGGATTTGAAAAGTGAAAACCGATTAGGTATAGAAAAATCAAAATATTCTAGAGAAAAGAGAACAATTTTCAGAGGAAGGAAACAGACAGCGAGATGTTAATGAAATCAACGCCCAAAAGTGATGTCTCACTTCATACAGTCCACGAACCCAGATTCAGAAATACAAACGAAAAAGAGTGTTAATTAAGAGAACATCAATCTATGACCAGCTATTTATAATTGTTAATTGCTTGAAAGGAACTCGAGAAGAAAAAACCCGGATAGATGAGATGAGCAATCGGGAACCATGTCAGAACAATCAAGCATATAACAAAGATGAAACTAAGAATGAGCTGAGTACATAACAAAATCCTATGAACGAATTGAATTCATCAATCAACAAAAGGCGAGGTCTGGAAAGGAAAGAAACAAAGTCAAAAATGAGGAAGAAACTACGAACCACGGTATCGTCAGTCACACATGAGACAGCATTCAGATCTGTTTCCTGAAATCACCAAGCTTTATCATCAGCAAAGTAAAATGAAATAATATGACTAAAGCACATCGGAAGAAACTGAACCCATCAACTTCCTGGCCACCTTGGGACCTCCGCTACACAACGTCACAAACCATCACCAAAAACGACATATCCGTCCTCCTCCGGCCGTAACCGACTGGAATATGAGCAGGCTCTGTTAAATAATGGAGAGAAAACGATAAGCAAGCAAATCCATGGAGATAAGCAATCAGATCAACATAGCTATGAAAGAAAAGAGAAACCAATACAGAACCCACTGTTGTTGGAGTCGAGCGCGAGACTCAGGCGATGGTTCGCCCCTGTTCTTCGACAATTTGGAAATCTGAAAACCCTAGATACAATTTCGGCAAGATCAAGCGAGAAGGATGAAATGAATTGAGAAACAGATCGAAAGAGGAAGTAAAGACACTTCTCTATGTGTTTGTCAAAACGGCAGCGTGTCTCTCGAACTGAATTGGGCTTTGCTTGATCTCTGATATCAAACGTAGAACTGGCCCAATTTACTTAAGTTGAACTCTGCGTTTTGTAAACACCACTTCCTTCTTCTTCCTTCGTACCAGAGAATCAAACCTGTTCTGTAAGAGGTTCACACTAGCAGCAGATCAAAAAGGCTCAAGAATAACTGGAAACAAAATGAGGAACAGCAAAATGAAAAATAGACTCGGACACGATCTTTTTACGTGGTATCCGGTGTTAGGCGATTAATTGAACCTAACACCGACTAATCCACGGTCGAAGGATCTCTGTTTCGAGACCTTCGACGTTGTACTATGCTCTGTGTTTTGGGTTTACAGTTTACAGCTTTGATCTCACAGTGACTCCCCGTCACACTGATCAGAATCTCCCTGGTCACACAGCTCCCTGCTGATGTCCCAAGTCGATCAACGAACTATCACTAGCAATCTCCCTGATGGCTAAGTCTCTCTCTTTTCTAATCAAAACTCTAACAGTACTCCTCTGTTTTTGATTTTGATTCTCGGAAAAGATAGCTCTCAACCCGCCCAAGCTTAATGCTTTATACAATTGCCTCTCTTGACCGTTGATGATTGCTGCCAGTTAATCCTAGCGAATCTTGGTGTGATCTTGATTGATAATTGCTTTCCTCAATTGACTTGTCAAGAATCAACCCTTCTATTTTATTCTTCTTCTCCGATCTTCAACCTTCCTTAGTTTGAGCCCAGGCAAGTTTGTCTTTCTTCTCTCAACAATCTCCCCCTAAGCTTGTCAGTGGCTCAAACTCAGCACACCTACACACATGTAGCAAACAGTGGGTGCAGCCTGTTCCAACAAATGCAATTAAAGCAACAAGCATCATACTCTAGAAGAACGAGTCTTTTATTCAATTATCATAATCCAAAGTTCACACCAGATCAACACATCAGACCAGAACATCAAAACAAACACTGCCTAGACTCTAGACAGCTCGGGTTGTATTTCATCTAGAAGGGATATTTAGGAGGTGAAGCATAACTTGACACTCGATCATTCTCATCATCAGAGTTCGAGTCAGGACTAATAGGATCACTAATCTGATTTGACTCATAGACAAACTTAGGCAACATTAGATCCTTGCCAATCATCAACCGCCGTTTGGGACCACTTCTAGCACCAGCTTCCTGCTTGTATGCTGCAGCTGCTGCATTTACCATGGCGGATGCAGCCTGTTGTTGCTGACTGATTACTCCCCCTGAGCCAGTGACAGGCTTACGAGGGCCAACCAAAGCATCAACACGTTCCAGAACATGTTGAGGACGCAGGTCATCCAGCACATCACAAACAATGACCTTGTCCCGCAAATCAATGCCAAGACGATACAGGAGTTTGGTGATTTGGGGGCCGAATGGCAGAGGACCACCATAATATTCAGTCCCAAACTTGATCATGTGCTGAAACATGAGGGAGGCATAGCTGATGCAACGTCCAGCACGCGCATTGAAGAGAACCCAAAGATCAGGAGAGTGAATAAGATCAGTGCTGGAAAGATCTCGAGGGAGAAACCATCGAGTAAGGAAAAAGAACAGCACTTTAAGATCATCTGGCAACCGTCCCGCAGCAAGTTGAGACGGAAACCAACGGCCAATATCATGTGCTAGAGAGGCTAATGCCCGATCAAACTGAAAGCCAAAGTGATGGAATTCACTGTCAGTGCCAGCCCTAATGCCAGCATGAGGCAAACCTAGAACAGACGCCAGCAGATCAGGCGTCACCTTGATCTCATAGTCATAGACCAGAGTAGTGAAAAATGAAGGGTCACTTCCAGGTCCTCGACGAAGATTGACATAAAAGAGACGCACAGCTTCTGGACATTGACTGAACCGCAGATTCGTCACCAAGGATCCCCATCCAAGCTTATGAATGTAAGCAGAGATGTTCAAATCGTATTTGGAGAAGGCAGAGGGTTGTATTGAGAAAGAGGGATAGAGAGGGCGATCTCGAAAACGCCGAAGATACCTAGAGTAGGTAGCAGCGTTCCGATAACTTTGATTCTTGAACAGAACTGACGCCTGAGCATTGTTCGATGCCATTTTTGAGAAGCAAGGTGTAGGGATGGGGTAAGCTAGTGAACAGTTGAGAGTATATGAGCGGACAGGAAGAGTTAGAGCAAGAGTCTTTATAGACACTGGACTGGACTAAAACCTAGGAACCTCTTGAGGCAGAAGGAAAGAATTAATTGACAGAGGAAAATCAGGAAAAAACAAGGCAAGTTAATATCGTATTATCAATCAAAGATTATTTATCTCTTCCTGATTAAACATGCCAAGTTCAAATCGATTAGGTAAGAATTTATCAGCACTTAAAGGTTTGGTAAAAATGTCAGCCCATTGCATATCTGTATTAATGAATTCCAAATGAATCTTACCATCTTGAACTAGATCCCTAATAAAATGATACCGGATTTCAATATGTTTGGTTCGAGAATGTTGAATAGGGTTTTTTGTCATGTTTATCGCACTTGTGTTATCACATAGAATGGGAAGAGAACCTATCTTAAGACCGTAATCTTGAAGCTGGTATTTCAACCACAATAATTGAGTACAGCTTAGCCCTGCTGCAATATACTCTGCCTCGGCAGTGGATAATGCAACAGAGCTCTGCTTTTTGCTAGCCCAAGATATAAGTGATGTGCCAAGGAAGTGACACATCCCAGATGTACTCTTCCTATCGGTCACACAACCGGCATAGTCAGAATCGCTATAGCCTAGCAACTCAAGACTTGATTCACATGAATACCACAACCCAAGTGAACCCGTACCAGACAAATAACGAAAAATGCGTTTAACTGCTGTTAAATGGCTTATCTTAGGATTACTTTGAAACCTGGCACAAGCACACACACTATACATTATATCAGGCCTACTTGCAGTCAAGTAAAGTAGAGACCCTATCATTCCACGATACAGTTTATCACTTACTGGTTCTCCTGATTCATCAGAGGACAATTTTGTAGTGGAACCCATTGGTGTGACTGCTGATTTCAAGTTTTTAAAGTCAAATCTGTCGAGCATATTGTTTAGGTACTTGGTTTGACTTATAAAAGTTCCCTTACTGGTCTGCTGAACTTGCAGACCCAGAAAATAGGTTAGTTCCCCCATTAAACTCATTTCAAATGCTCCTTTCATAGCTAACTCAAACTGTTTACACATTTCTGGACTAGTTGAACCAAAGATAATGTCGTCTACATATACTTGCACAAGCATAGTATGACCACTAAGGTTTTTATGAACAATGTTTTGTCCACTGAACCTCTACGAAACCCATCTTGAATTAGAAAGTTACTTAGTTTATCATACCAGGCCCTAGGAGCCTGCCTTAATCCATATAAAGCTTTATTCAACTTATACACGTGGTTAGGAAACTTGTGATTTTCAAAACCAGGTGGTTGTGCCACATAAACTTCTTCCTTTAAATCTCCATTAAGAAAAGCGCTTTTCACATCCATTTGGTATAGTTTAAACTTTTGAGATGCAGCAAATGCACACAATAACCTGATTGCCTCTAACCTAGCTACAGGAGCAAATGATTCATCGAAATCTATTCCTTCCTCTTGATCATATCCCTGAGCTACCAATCTAGATTTGTTTTTGGTTATATCACCTATTTCATCAGTCTTATTTTTGTATACCCATTTGGTCCCAATTATAGGTTTATCCTCAGGTTTTGGTACTAATTCCCAGACATTCAGTCTTTCAAAGTATCCGATTTCATCTTGCATAGAAGCAGTCCAGAACTCATCGTTCAGAGCCTCTTTAATATTCTTAGGAACAAATAAGGACACAAACGCAGCATTCACAGAGGATAACTTTGATCTAGTAATCATACCTTCTCTGGGATCACCAATTACTAGTGACTGTGGATGCCTTTTCTGAATATGTAGAGGAGCTTCCTTGACTCTGCTACCATTAGTTTCCACCGCAGATTCTT